TCACCTCACAAGATGGCTTTCAGTCAAATGGAACCAGCAGCTAAGAGGCCATTTTTCCAGAAAGAACCCATTGGCTCCTTTTTTTTTTTTTTTTTTTTTTTTTTTTTTTTTTTTTTTTTTTTTTTTTTGCAGAACCGGGGATTGAACTCAGACCCTTGCGCTTGCTAGGCAAGCATTTATTCTACTGAGCCATCTCCCCAGCCCCATGGCTCCTTTTCAAGATGGACTTTAAACACTTTTGTTGAGCTTTAAAATTGTCAAGTGAGGCTTTTACTGCCAGAGTGAATTCCCTCCCACAGCCGGGCTAACGGGTGCACTCCAGTTTTGTCCTGGGTAGTGGAGAAGGGAAACAAACACTCCTCAAGGGCACACAGGATGTGCACATGCCCCAGTGCTGGGGCATGGGGAGTCTGCAGAGCCCGACATAGTGGAGGTGGCCTCTGAGTGATTCAGGGTCATGGCTTCACTCCATTTTTAAAATAATGTCATAAATAAGTTAATATTAACTTTTAGCTGTCTTTGGCATTCACATATGGATAGAAGAGTAGTTACCAGGCAGTTTGTAACCCTGTGGTCACTTCCTTTTATTTTTTATTTTATTTTATTTTTTGGAGAAACTGGGGATTGAACTCAGACCCTTGCGCTTGCCAGGGAAGCGCTTATTCCACTGAAGCCATCTCCCCAGCCCCTTGGTCACTTCCTTTTAAATAAACATGTCCTCGTCCCCCCCATCACTATCCTGTGCCCACTGGGAGTGGCTTACTCTCCCCATCTGCGGCTCAGCAGTCATGCAGCCTGATTGTTTTTGGCCACGCACAGTGGTGGCTGCTGCCAGGTCTTCATGTCCCACCCTCTTTTTGCTTGTCTCTGCTGCTTTGGAGAAGATGTCACCACCTTGGTCCCTGCACAGCCAGGGAGCAATGATGGCTGATTCCTTGTGTCATGGAGGCAGTCAGCCTTGCTGATGGAAACAGCAAGCTCTGGCCACATGCAGGGAGGGAAGATCCCCCACCCCAGGAGAGGGACTCTTGTCCTATCTCCTATTGATCGGTTGTTCTACCATGACCTCTTCCAGCAGAGTGGCAATTTCTCTTCCTGTAAATATACATTCCTCAGGGGGCCACAGAACCTCAGCATTGTGCATATGTTTCTTTGGTTAGTTGGGAAAAAGAAGAAAGTGACTTGTCCCTTGTAAGTCAACAACCATTTTAGTCAACATGTAACCTAGTGATCTCTTATTTCATTTTTGAAATGACAAATCAATACTCACCTCAAATTACTGATCCCTTATTCTGAACCCAAGGCACAGTCTAGTCATGGAGATGAGGTAGTAAGCTAGGTTGGCTTGGCCTTTCTCTCTGGAGTGCATTCACGGGCTCCAATCAGGGCTGTGGGATGGCGTCTCCTGGCGCCCAGAGGTGTTGGGAGGCCTCAGAGCATGCTGGGACCTATGGCTTAGAGGCAGACTGATTGTCAGGCAATGGGCTAGCTTGCTGGATGCCTGTGGCACCCCCTGGTCTGGATACAGTTCTATGCAGTGGTAAGCTGACCAAGTGAATTCCTTCCACAAAACAGTGTGTGGAACCTCACCAGCGATCCCTGGGCCCCAGAACTTTGGATAAGCAGCCTACACATCCACAGCCTTCACCCATCTTTTGTGAATCCTTTACATCATAGCCAAATGGAGTTGTGTGGCAGACACAGAGGGTGCTGCCCAGGCCTCCTTGCCTAAAAGACCCAGCTGATTAACATAAGGGGTAGACTTCACCGTGCCCTCTAGCTGTTAGTGCCTTCAGAGCCATTTTAGCTTTTGAATGGAGGCTAAGCTTTGCCCAGGCAGCTCCAGCTAGGAGCTGAGTGTGTTGGGTTGTCTAGGACCTGATCATTTTTGATCAGCACAAGACTTTTGCTGTGGAGCTTCCTATTGGCTGGCTGGGACATGGTCAACCTTGTACCCTATCACCTTTCATTTGATCTGTGATTGGTATTACCCTTCCAGTACATTGACTGCAGTCCTCACTCTGCCTCCACACTTGCTTCCTGGGGAATCCAGCAGGTACACCTGAACATATGACTGGGACTGCTGAAAACAACAGGGAGATGATCTGAGCCATGGGTATCGATAACTGATTTACAAGAATAGCTTGTTCACTTGCTGGTGAGAGTCTCCTGTTGGCCCTGTTACTATCCTCCATCAGATTGTGGTGCAGAGCTGTCCTAAGTACCATTACCCAGGAGTGAGGACCTCTACCTTTAGAGAAAAAGGAGGAGATAGGACTTTTCCAGCCCACAAGGCCTATCTTTTCCACCAGGGCCTGACACAGATCTGCTGAGCTTCTGCTGGAAGGCTTTCATGGAAATTATGCCTCAGCCCAATTGTGCTCGTGTTCATGTGGGAGGCCAGCATGGACCAGAATGGGAACAGGCGGACTTGTCTCATTAGGGGGAGTGACCACACACATGACAGCTGTGGAGGCACGAGAGCAGGCCAGACATGAGATGCCCCAGAACGGAATCGATTTCATCATGGGATAGAAGTAGGGGAGGGCTCGCTGTTCTGTGGCTCTGACTAAGGGAGTTGATGGCTAGGGACACATTTACTGTGGTGGGGAGCAAGGTAGAGATGGTGGTAATCCAGGGGGAAGAGTGACTTCAATCCTTTCACAAGGAGATGCATGTGCGGCATCCAAAAGAGCACAGCCCAGTTGCCCTTTAATTTTCTTTACTTTGGTTTGCCAAGTGGGAGAGAATCAACATCCTGTCCGGGCATGGTCCCTCAGCAGGGCCCACTCAGCCCGGTGCCCTCAGGCAAGGAGGGGCTGGCAGCACAACGTGGGGGAGGGAGAGCTGGAGGAGCAGGCTCTTAATGCAGTGGGACCCCTCAGACGTCCAGTGACTGACAACCCTGGACCCCTTACCTGCCTGCCAGCTTCTGTTTGCAGGGATGCAGCTTCACAAACTCCCTGGCCTGGAAGGAATGTCGGAGGTCAGATATTCCAGCCTCTGGGTTGCCATATTCAGACTGTTCGCATGATAGAGGAGTTCTTCCATCTATTGTTTTTTTTTTAAAATATTTATTGATATATTTATTTTGTGTGTGGTCAGCTCAGCCCACCAGGGGGCGGGCAGGCTGGCATGTGGTGCTGGGGGATTGAACCTTGGTCCCTGTGCTTTGCTTTGCTTGGCTTAGCTTGTTCTAAGTAGGTGCTTTAGACCACTGAGCCATCTCACCAGCCCTCTTCCTTCTATTGTGAGAAGACCCCATCTTCTGGCTTTTCTTTAGGCATTAAAGACATGGTCCATGCCCGGGGCCTCGTCTCCAAGGAGGTGCGTGTTGCATCCTGGGTTTTGTGGTGCTCACAGAGAGGGACATGAGCAGTGCAGATGGGAACATAAGTTCTTTTTGTCCTTCACACTACAGCTATGAGAATGGTCTCCATGGTTACAGCAGCTTCTCAGAGGTGTCTGTATTTCCATTTTCTATATTCTCCACATGTCTAATTTATGAATAATCCATTTAAGTAGACTGCTAGAAAGTTTCTGCATGTATACGAATATCTATATTATCTATATCTACATTTATGTCTCTATCAATTTATTCAAAATGAAAAAAATAGGTTGACAAGCATTTTGGACATTTTTTTCCCCCCTCTCTAAGAAGAAATTTGGGCTGACTTTAAAAATTTCAAGTTAAACAAGGTTCAATGAAAGAAACACTGCCCTCATGTTCATTAAAGGCATGTGAGCCGGAGAGGGGCTGGAGCTCACCCAATTATGTTTTCTTTAATGTGGAATAGCTATTTGCCTGACATTCCATTTGCATTTCACTGTCGTCCCATTCAAATGGCTAGGACATCAATCCCCCCACCCCACGGCTCCCTTTGAAAAGAAAGTGCTTTTTCTTGTCGTCCTCCCCACCCCCGTGATAACAGTGATAAGAATGGATCAATAATTACATTGTTGGATAAAAATGAATATAAATTTATTGAAAAACACCAGCAACAATGTGGGAAAAGCACACTCAACAACCATCGGCCCACTCAACTCAACGCACACATTATGAGAAGTGATTGCCTCTTCAGGTCTCCAGCGACGGATTCCCAGTGAGAAGAAATTATAGACTTCCGATAATCCGGTGCGGGCCACAGATGCACACCACCTTTGTCAGCAGCTATTGGTGAGGCAAGGCGTGAACCTCATGTTTGCCACAGGCCAACCAGTGCATTTAAAGAATTAATTGGTTTAGTAAGAGCCTAATCCGCCCAGCCAGTGTACAGTAGCTAAATAAAACTGCAGACCACTGGGAAAATGTTTCTCCTTTTCAAGTCCTTTGAGAAGAGGATTTCACAAACTTTCTTGGCAAAGTGTCCCTCCAGCTCAACGACAGGAAACAGTTCTTTGTGTCTAGCCTAAATCCTTCATGCTTCAGTTCATCTATTTATTGCTATTTAGTCTCAGCAGGCTGTGGGGGAGTTTGTCCTGGTGAGACAATGTAACATACGGGGAACTCACAATGATCACAAACAGAGTGAAAATAAGAGTCCAGCTGTGCTGGTGACACTTCTGAAGCAAGCTGAAAAGAAGTCAACTGTAGTAGAGATGCCATCCCACTGCCCTGCCAGTCTCCACCCCGACTGGCACCAGTCCTGGGACTCGGAAGAGAATGCTCTCTGGATCAGTCTTTCCCTGGCACAGTAATTCGTGTGATCAAAGCTGCCCCGCCCAGTCCTGCATCTGGGGTTCTGTTTCAAGAAGGGATTTCCGGGCAAAGGGGTCCCAATTCTTATCACATGCGGTGTCTTCTCACCGTGCCAGGCAGCCTCGCAGGAGGCTCTCACAGCTGTGCCTGGCACAAGTGCTCCGTGTACACAGAGGAAACTCTGAGAAAGCACCCCCACCCTGACTTCAATACAAACATCTCGACAGTATTTTTCAAATTTTCAGTAAAAAAAAGAAAAAAGAAAAAGAAGAAAAAAAAAAAAAAAAAAAAAAAGGTAGGGAGCTAATAAATCATTTGGTGGTTTGCAGCGCCCGCGGCCACGCAAGCGGCCACCAGGGGGCACCCGAGCCATTCCATCTGCGGCCGGGAAACAAAGATGAGCATTTGAATAAAAGCCTTCAACATGTGACCTCGGATTTGTAGCCTGAGCAGCCTGCGTGTAAAAATTCATGAAGATTGGATTTCATTTCACGTACTTTTACTTCAGAGAGAAGAAATGCAGGTGATTTTCTGACCGTGCCTACAACTGTTTTTACAAAGGGGGTGCCTGATTCAATGAGTAGGGGAGGGCCTGCGGGTGCCCTGCGGAGCTTGGGGGCGCGGGCTTCCCCCTCTGGTGCTGGGCACGGCTCCTCTTCGTTGGGCGGTGTGCTCTGCAGGCTCCCAGGCGTACTGATTAGTGACACGGTGTTAGGAAGGTGTGTGTGTCCTCTGCCAGGCTGCCTGTGGCGGTCGCGGTGGATCCACTGAGTGGCATGAGCCTTAGAAGACTCTTGTTTTGATAAAACACAACACATTTCTTTCAGCCCTTAACATCACATATGTGAAAAAAGGGCTGTTTTCAGGGTGTAAAGGCCCCTTTGTTTCCTTGTGGCGGGGCATAGTGCTTGTATCTCCTGGGCCTCTGCGTGTTTCTCAAGCTAAGCGAGGTAGTGGTGGGTGGTGGGCTCATCAAGAATGCTGGACCTAGGGTGGGGAGCTGGGCCCTCCAGGAGCGCCCCATGTGTAAGGCCTCTGCTTGGTGGAAGTCGGCCCTGAGCCAGGTCCCTACGGAAGAGGGGCCCCAGGCTGGGGTGGGCTGTGGGACCTGGAACTTCAGCCAGTCCTGGGGCGGGGGAGGCTGTGTCCCTGGCCAGTCACCTACTGGGAGCCCTGGGTGGTTGTGGCTGGACCCCTTTGCTCTACCTCTGTAACCCAGCTTCTAGCACGGCTCTGGGCGCTTACTGCGTGTGCACAGAGGAAGACGGGCGAAGAAGGAAGGCATGAGCGGCCCAGGCTGGCTGAGGCTGCTGCTGCTGAGCCGGGCCGGGTGCGGAGGCTGCAGGAGAGGTTTGGGTGTGGACTGCTCTGGGGGAAAGGTGGGACAGGCAGGGCTGACAGAGCTGAGGACTCCAGGGGTTCAGCAGGGAGTACCCTGGAGTGTGTCCATATGCCAGATGCTCGTGCATTGACCTTGGAGGGTGTCTCTCAGCCCTTCCCTTTCTCCTACCCTGCTCAGCCCGGTTTCTACTTGTTGCCATGGCAACACCAGCCTCAGGTGCTTCCCAGGACTAGCTGGGCAGCTGGGGCTTCTTTGGACAGTCCTGAGCAAGCCAGGGCCCCAACCATCCCCCAACAGGCAGTGCTCTGTGTGAGTGGGCTGAGTCTCATTTTCAGAAAGGAGAGGAGATGGGATAGGACTTTTCTCTTTGCCACAGCACAAAAGCTGCTGCTGAGCAGGCAGGGTCCCCTCACTTGGGTGGCAGGGGCTCTGGGGCTGGCAGTGGCCTGTGTGAGTTTCTGAGCACTGCCCCAGCCACATCACCCCCTGTGGCCTGGGGCTCTATGGAGCTTTGTCATTCAGCCCCTGACAGGCCTAGCCAGTCTCTGGAGGCTCCCAGGAAGGCTGAGCCTTGAGCCCATGAGCCACAGTCACTGCCCTGTGTGCTCCTGTAGGGGACTAAGTCAGATGACTTAGACTGTGTTGCAGGACTGCCGAAGAATCACTCCACCCGCTACCCAGCAGGCCCATGAGCCGGCCCTGGGGCCTCTGCTTTCGCTGTCACCAACCCTGCCACTCTGGGCTCAGCTTTCTCTCATGCGTTTGATCCCCAGGGCTCTGGAAGAGCAAGGAGTGGCTAATGAGGAGGAGGCAGCATGGAGTCGGAAGACAGTCAGGTCCATTTTTCCCTGCGGTCCAGGAGCTGTGGGGTGACACCATGCGCTGCTTGCAGGGGCCCCGTGATCAAGGGAGATGCAGCCGTATGTATCATACTCCTCTGGGGCCTGGAGAATTCACTAAGCATCACGGGGAAAGCTTTCAGCTTGGACCACAGCCCTGCTTTCCCACGCTGACCCCGTCTATGGTAACAACATTAGCACACAAAGGGGGCATCTGGGCACAGGTGGGCAGTTCACAATACCTTGGATTTACATAGCACCTTTTTCCTCCAAGGCCTTCACCTCCATCCCTTCAGCCATGGCCACACTGAGTGAAGCTTTAGAACACAAACATCTCAGCACCAGTGATGGAGCAGCAAGACTGAGCTGGAGGCCTAGAAATGGTTTTGTGTAGACACAGTGGTGTCCAGTCTCTCTGCACTTGGCCTCTCCTGGGTAGGGCTGGCCATGGCCCTCAGGGACAGTATTTGTGGCCAGGCCATCCTCACTGGGTGTTCACTCTGTACTTCAGGATGTAGGAGTAGAAGTTGTGGTTGGCGTTCTCCAGCACCATGACGTAGACCTCCTGGCAGCCGGCTGTGCTGCAGCTGCCTTCCCAGTAGCCCTCGTGGCTCAGGGTCAGGGGCCATGTGTCCTGCCCTTTCACCAGGGCTTTGGCAACTCCGTGCAGCTTCAGCTTGAATGGGACATTCCGGTTGGCGGGAAGCACACCGGACAGAGGCTCCAGTAGCTCATTGTCCTGTCCCCAGTTGCCAAAGCTCTCGGGAAACATGGGCCAGCTCACCTTGGTGTTGGTGCAGCACAGGAGGTAGTTGAAGACAAAGATGTAGTTGCCCGGCTCCTGCCTCTTCTTGACAAAGATCTTGAGGGCAAACTTGCCGGCATGGGGCAGCTGGACCTTCAGCTCAGTCCGCTTCTCCCGGTGTAGCTGGAAGATGTAGCGCCGCTGCGTCTCCTCAGTGATGGGGCCGTCATCTCCGTGCAGGGAAGCCAGGACGCTGGTGCCCTCCTCCACGCCGAAGCTGATAGAGCAGCGTCCATCCCGGGTATGGATGACGGGGTCAGGGTGGGAGGGTTTTATGATCCCCATCTGCTCCGAGAACCAGCTGGGGCCCACAGGCTGGTGAAGCTCGGCTGGCAGCCGGACCCCTAGGTCCACAAAGTTGCACTTGAGTGTGTACTCCAGCACTGAGCTGTAGATGTCTGAGTTGCCCTTGGCAAAGATCTGCAGCTTGTGGGTGCCCATGGTGGGAGGGTATATCTCCAGCTTCATCCCGTTCTTCTGGAGGCTCAGTAGCCCATGCTCCTGCTTGCCGTTGAGCATGAACATGAACAGCGTCGGGGCGCAGCTCTCTATGGTGATCGTAGCCTTCCCGTTCACTGGGGAGAGAGGTGCGCTGGGTGAGATGGCTCCTACGTGTGCTGCTAAGTTCTCTCAGCGGTGTGGGCAACTCTGAATTGTAGCACTGGCCCACTTCTGTGGTGTAAATCTTTTTATCAGATTGACTAAGCAAGCAATGTGATGTCGCTGAACACAGTATCAGTCAGCCATAACACAACCCTGGAAGGGGTTTTCTACCCTTTCCCAGGGAGCTGATAGCTAGGGCTGGGGTGAGACCGCAGGACAAATCTGATCCTAGCTGTCTGTGCTCCTCCACTCATCTGGTTCCTATTAGCTTTGGGCTGCCTGGCGGGCTAAGGGCCGGGAAGGGCACCGCCTCCTCCAACTCATTCTTGCTTCTCCCTCCCACTGATGCCGGTTGCTCATTACATGCCAGTAGCTGTCCTGTTAACACATTACCTTAGCAAGTTGGAAAGGTGCCCCTGCTGGAGATGCCCTGCTCAGCCCCCACCCCCTGCCTGTGTTGACACTGGGCATTGTCACTGTGTGTCTGGAATGGGACCTTGACAAGACAGCATGTGTACCCACCGGTCTTTTCCTTTCTTCTCCCCTTTCCTCTCACATGGCTGTCCTTTGTCCTGGTCATTGTCTTTCACAGGCAGCTGGTCTGTTCCTTGGTTCCCTGGTTTTTGCAGTCTGTGGGGACTCACTTATTTGGTCCTCCCTGGCTCTCAAGACCCCAGACAGGGAAGGGCAGCGGCTTTTCTAAGAGCCTAGCCTCACCTTCTCTCAGATGATGGTTGTCCCCTGCCCAACTCCTGTTGTATCGTGGGTGGAAGCAGGCAAAGGAAGATACAGGAACTCTGAGCTATGCTTACCGTGAGCCCCTTTCCTGAACCTGGTAAGCCCTCCCACCAAAGGCCTCCTGTAAGTGAGACTGTCTCCACCCCCTCATGTGAGCTGGGGTTCTCTGGAAACCTGGCTCTCTTCAGGAAATTATCACTGTGGGAATGGGGTAGGCAGTTCTGTGCCATGTCTGTCGTTGGGTGGGCTGGAGGGTGTTTGGCAGGAGCCCATCTCATTTCCTGTCATGAGCACAGCCTTGCTTTGGGGGTGTTGGCAGAGGTGAGCTGAGAGACAGGAAGTTTTAAAGCAAAGGACTCCTGGGGCCTTCTGTATGAGCCATGGTGTCCACCCACCTTCCCCACTTCCTCCTTCCCTGTCCCCTCCTGAGCTTTTTTCCCTGTGCTCAGCAGCTTTCTAGCTCCTCATCTGGGGGTTCTCTTCCTTCCCTTTCCTTTCGCCCACCTCAGCTTCCCTCTTTTGCTTCTTTCCCACCTCTATACTTAGCGTAAATCTCTACCACTGATAAAAGCAAGTTTGAGACTACTACAGATTAAGAAAGATGGTGTTTACATTTTCATGCCTCCTGAAAAGGTGAACTCAACTCAGTGACACAGAGTGCTCTTGTTTGGGCCTGGTCGATTCCTCCCTGTGGCGCAATGGCCCGCAGCAGCCTGAACAGGCCTCCATTTGATGCAAGCGCAGTGAGCGGATTCTCAAAGTGAGCAACCTCACGCTGTTATTTTAACAGCAGGAGCTGCCAGATATTTGTAGCTCTGAAGAGTGTGCTGGAGCTCAGCAACTGGTTAAGCAAACCATTGGGAGGTGGAAGAGCCATGCCACTAGGAGCTAGCTTGGGGGCACTTGTGCCTATCACCCTGTGGTATGGTGGGGCTGGGGCACCCCAACATCCTCTCCTCGCCCATGGATGCTTCTAGAGAGAGTCTTTTGCAGCCCATGCTGTGGTTCTGGTTCCCTGGCTCAGTCTCCTAATGCTCCTTAGAGGGTGAGAACCCACCTAGCCATCATCATCCTCTGCAGATATGCGAAGCAACTGGCTGAGCCTCAAGGACCCCAGCCCTTTCCTTAGGGGTGTCTGAGTGTGGAGGTTGGGCAGTTACTGGAAATACTCCTCTCCTCCACTCCCACTGCCTACCGCATGTCCATCCTAGCTGTCCCACACATCACTGACCGTCTCTCTGTAGCAGCTGGCCCCATCCTCTGTCCTGGGGAGATTGCCCCCACCTGTCTAGGAACAGCTCTTCAGCTCCCCAACCTGCTAGGTAGACCCCTGATGCACAGTAATGGCTCTGAGGGGCCCACAATTCTCCTGGCCAGGAGTCTGGCAGGAGAACACAGCAGGTTGGGCAGCTTCTGTTGGACACCCAAACAGGCTGGGATAGGCTGCATAGTCTGTCCACTGCCCTGTGAGCTGAGAAGAGACATACATAGCTCAGAACACTGCAGGTCAGGACACTGTAGGTCTGGTTCCCTTGTACTAGGAAACCCACAGCCCCTGACAGCCCCGTCTGGGTACACGCTAGGATAAGAGGGCTTCTATCCCTACCAATGTAACCTGTAGCCATGCTGTGCCCTGATAGCCTGGTGGTGAGGGCTGTCGGCCACCCCTGCATACCCACATGCCCATATGGGTCTGACTGCAGCTTCCAGGGCTGCTGCATTCCTGCCCCTGATGCACAACTTGGCCACCTGCCCCAGTTACCTGTTCTGATCATGGACACGTCTGGGTGGGCACTCAGCATCCCCTTGTTGTAGAATTCACTCTTGTGATACATGCTGTTTTCAAACTGCCTCAGAGACTGTGGAGGTTTCAGCAGTTGCCAGTTCTTGTTGTCTGGGAAGTGGTCCTCAATGAACAGCGCGGGGTGGGTGAGGAAGTAGAACTCGTTGTAGCTGGGGCAGAGGGAGAGCTGGTCAGAAGGCATGGTGGGGGCCCCTTTCTGGCCACTTTGCTCAGCTTAATGTGGGGCTGGGCTCTTGGGGGCCTTGGGGTCCTTCTCCTGGTTGGCACAGTACTGGGAGGGGTCTAGCCAACAACCCAGCTGGGAAGTGGGCACCAGAGACTTCTTGACAGTTGCTTCTGGACACTGAAGCTAAAGCAGGACCTGAGCCACCTTCTGAGAGGAGGCCACAGCTGAGGACTGTGGTACACCGTGAGTGCCCTGGAGAGTCTGGGGGAAAGGCTTCCTGCGCCGTCAACACCAAGGAGAAATCTGAAGGGTGCAAAGGTGTAACCCATGGATGAGTGTCCAGCACTGACACAGCAGAGACGTGGGGAGGTGGGGAGGTGGGGTGCCCAAGCATACACCTCCATCAGCCCGTCTTTCCTCTGCAGGTTCAGTGAGGCCCTCTGTGGCTCCTGGGCCAGGTAGAGGCCTGGTGCTCCTCTAGTGGGCAGGGGTAGAGACTCGGAGGAGAGAATGTGGTGCTTGTCCTGATATGGACAGGTGCTGCCCCACCTAAAGGATCTGCTTCAGGGTGCGGGAGGTAAAAGAGGTGTCTGTGAACACGCGAGCTGCATCGTGGGATGTGTGGCACCTAGCCTGCACTTGCCCTGCGTGTGGCAGTGTCAAGATTTCAGCTGCAAAAATCACAGTACGCTCTTATTTTTCTGAATACACTCTGAGCTGCTGATGGCCACTGTGACCCCAAGAGTGTTTTGTGCAGACTTAAGTTAAGGCCAGAGCCTGCAGGACTGAGGGGGTCTAGTGGCAGCCCCTCAGCTTGCTGTGGTCCATGTTGACTCTGTAGCAACCATGCACTCCTTCCCCGAGACCACGGCCCTTCCTCAGCCTGGAGAAGGAGGCTGGCGTCCAAGGAGGAGGTGGGAGACAGGCCTGGTGTCTGCATGGCAGTCGCTCCAGGCCTGAGCAGAACCACTGGCAGTTAGAAGGGCACCTTGGCCTCTTCCTCACATGGGACCCGGGGCTAATGCTGAGGCTCATGGGATTTAGGTGAAGAGAGAAACAGGGAGCCAGAGGAAGTTTTAGCTAGGGTCTGGGGTGGTTACAGGAATGTTGGGCCTGTAGCTAGTCCCAGTCTGTGGGCAGGTGGGCACTGCCAGAAGCCTTCAGCCCACCTGCCCTCCTTCCTTCTCCCCAGCCTTCTCCACCTGTGCCTCCCCGCTGACCAACATCCCTAGTCCCACCCTGACTTGTACTTACAGGAACGTGAATTTTGAGGTGACCTTGTCCACCAGACCGCTGCCCCAGGTGCTGTCCAGGAGGTGCCATCTTCCCTCCAGGTACACGGCATTCCAGGCATGGTCAAACTCTCCAGAGAAGCTCTGTCCTGTCTGGTAGCCGAAGCCCTTGGAGTAGCCAGGCACTGTCATGCACTGCACTCCAGCAATCCTGGGGGTGATACAGGGCTTGAGGCGGGGCTCTACTGGGATGGCCCCCAAGTCTGCCGGTCACACCTGCAGCCCATCAGTCCTTCCTGTCTCTCCTTTTTCCTGCCTATCATACACTCATGCATATGCAGCCTTAAAGCTTTTGTCCTTGAGGGTGGAGACTGAGGACACAGGGCTGGCTCTGCTGGCCCTGCTGTCTTCTCCTCCTCCGAGACTATTGAAATCACTTCTACAATGTCTCCCCAGAGCCTGCTTGACATCTTTTGTAAGCAGCTCTTCCAGGGAGAAAAGTGAGGGCCAAAGTGAGAACGACACTGGACCCAGGAGAAGGAGGGTGTTGGTGAAGCAAAACCTACAAATGAGGAGCAGGGACAGAGGCTGGGAGAGCCAGGGCTACTCAGGAGGTGAGGTCTGAGTGCAGAGAATGCCAAGCTCTACTTCCTTGGCTTTGCCCTTGCAATCCCACCTGCATGGGGATCTGAAGGGCAGACAGACTGGTGTTTCCAGCAGCAATCTAGGAGGGGGCGGCTGAAGGTCTATGCTCTGCAAAAGTGGCACAGGAACCACTAGAATGTATTAATGACACCGCCTGCCTGCTGTGGACACAGCTCTGGCGTCTCCGGTAACTGTCTCAGAAGGAATGAAAATGCTTGCCAGTTAGCTGGAGCTTTGGAGTCATCTTGGTAGTGTCCTCCTGTACTGCTCAAACTAAGCTGGCACCACTTTCTGGGACCTGGACAGCCAGGGATGGCTGTTGGCCACCTCCAGGGTCCACATAAAACCAGACAGTGAGGGGGCTGATTTTGGCTGTGAGCACTTCTCTGGGGCCACAGTGAGTCCCCCGAATGTCCTGCCATGGCCAGCTGGCCTTTCTCAGCAGCCCTGCCCCATGCCATGGACTGGCTGGGCAGCTCCGTGGTTGATCTGACCCAGGGGGCTTATCATGCTAGCTTTTCTGAGGCCTTTGTGCAAATTAGGGAAGAAACCTGTCCTCCAAACATTTTTCTTGCTCTTGTGGAAAAGCCAGTAAACTAGGAACCCCTGGATGTGCCCTCCACTAGCCTCCTAGCGCCCCACATGGTGCAGACTCCGTGCACCTAGATGAGCTGAATCTGAGGTAGGTACTTCAGATGCGGAGCTCAGCAACAAGTTAAGCAAACCACTGGGGGTGGAAGAGCCATGCCAGTAGGAGCTAGCTTGGGGGCACTTGTGCTCCCCAACACCAACCTCAGTCTTCCTCTGCATGTAGAGTCCAGGCACTCAGGTTGAGGATCTTTGACAGCCTCTACCCATCTCCCCACAGCTTCAGAAAGAAGGTCCAGGCCTCCCTGACTCCCCTGGGAACCTCATGAGGACATACCAGCCAGGATTTCAGAGAACTTGGAAGCACCCCAAGGGCAGAAAGTAAGAGCAACCAGACCTCAATGGCAAGATTTTCTATTGATAATGGCCCCAAATGACATTTATGGCAGAAGAGCTGCCCAGAGACAGGCAGTACCAGGAGCCCATGGGCCATGCAGCCCCTGAAGGGAGACGGCAGCTCACGGACAGGGAGCACCCTGGTCCTCATTTCAGTGACAGACAGCATGGACAGTGGGGTGCTAGGTCGTGCTGGTGGGGATGTAAGGCTCAGGGCGTGCTCCCAAGTGGGCAGGTGTGAATGACTCTATAGTCTTAATGTAGGAAGCCAGCAGAGAAGAGAGAAGGTGGGAGCGAGGCATGGGTGGGAGTGAGAGCCTGCGATAGCAGGGAGGGCCACAAGCCACTCCAACTGGCTAAGGAGAAAAGGGTTGTGAAAAGTATTTACTTGGGGCGATAATTCATATTCTAACACAGTATTAAAACTTCACAATCATTTCAATGTCTGCGTGTATGAAATGATGTGCATACTTGAACAGGAAGGAGAAAGAGAGAGAGAGAGACAGAAACAGAGACACAGAGGGAGAGAGACAGAGACAGAGACAGAGACAGACAGACAGATAGAGAGAGGAAACAAGTCACCAGATTGCTTAGCAATAGGAAGGAATAGAATAAGGGTGATTTTAATTGTCTGCTTTAAATTCCTCTATATTTTTGAGATTTATAGTAAAGATTATGTGTTACTTTTAGAATTGGAAAAAAATTCATAAATACTACTTAAAATTATATCCTGTGGTGAATCATCCTCGACTGTTATACAGGACATCTGTGCTTATTAATTTCTGGTAGGATGCAGAGGGATAAGGGGAGTACAGGGGACTGTGGTGTCTGGTGAAGGCTCGTTTTGCATTAGGGAGAACTGATTAGTGGAGCCACTGGCCCTCTGGACAGTACTGATGCTTGTCCTCCATTCGAGCCACCTGGGGTCACAGAGGAAGCAGGCGCATAAAGCCCTGGTGTGGTGTCCTGGTGCTAGGCAAACCAGGGCTGGCACTGAAGTGGGCAGCCTAGGAGTTCTGCCAGGAGAAGCCTGCCCTTGGAGTGCATGCAGGGGTGTCCCCCCTGTGAGGGTGAAGCAGGAGCGGATCTGGGCATACACAGGGGAAGCTCCTCTAATTCAGGAATGGGCTGGAGGAGGGAACAGTGGGTGGCAGAGAAGTCCACCTGTGTTCCAGGCTGGAGTGGGCAGCCACTGGGCTAGGCTGGAATACCAGGGCTCTCCTGCCAGCTCTGACCTCCAGGGCGACCTTGCCAGACACATCAGGGCAACCTGGAAGGTTGGCATTAAGTGATCTCCAGGGTATGATTTTCCTCCGACAGCCTGAGAGAATCTAGGAGGGCCTTGGGGAATGCCTGCAGCAGAAAAAAGATGAAAAATGAACTCAGCTGTAAGTTTATGCATTGCTTGACTGTGACAGGGGGATATTTTATTACCTGGCAGCCATGTGCAGGATGAATTGGACAGGGGAAGTCATAATGTGAAGCATTGTTGTTAATAATCCATAGTTTCCATGCAAAGTCAGGTAATCCGTATATAAAATAATGACTGTAGAGATAGTTGGGGTTTTGTGTCTAGTCAGGATAACTCATGACCCTCTCATGTCATCAAAAAAGTATTGACTGTCAGGAGCAGAGGCACAGGCCTGGGCCTGTCATCTCAGCTACTTGGAGGGCTGAGATAGGAGGATCACAAGTTTGCAGCCAGCTGGGGCAACAGTAAGACTCTGTCTTAAAATAAAAAATAAAAAGGGTTGGGAATGTAGCTCAGTGGTACAGTGTTCCTGGGTTCAGTCCCTAGTACTGCACAAAAAAGAAACCCTAAATAACCAAGCAAGCAAGCAAACAAAAACAAAGACCACCGACTGTAATTCCTGTACCACGTATAGGCCACGGGCAGGAAGATAGCATGGCGTGATGCCACACAGTGTGATATAATCAAAGGTATTATTCCTGAAATAAGGCTCAGGGGCTGCTCTAGGCCTGTTCCTGGCTGGAAGGAGAGCTGATCTTGGAGTCACTGTGCTGACAGGAGCTGGGAGAACACTGAGTGAGGGGCCCACAGTGAGCAACGGAGAGGTGGCTCTCCTGTCAAAGTGCTTGGCCAGCCAGCCAGGGGCCCAGGTTTCCCCCACCAACACCAATTTAACAGCCTCACTGGAAGAGTCTTGGCCTTTCCTTTCAACCATCCTGACAAGGCTAATGCCAACTGCACACAGCGTATGGCTGACCAGCAAGCATATGGCTGCCATGTATCCTAGGCCACAAGGGGAACAGGCATTTAGGAAGCCCCTGGGACAGCCAGAGGATTGGGAGAAGACCACAGCCCCATCCTAGGAAGTACCAGGGCTCAGGGTCCCAACCCGGGACGTTCTGAGGGTGTGCGGCCCTAAGGCAGCCCAGGACCATGTGGCCACCCAGCCTGGCCTGATAGACACAGCCTGAAAGAGGTGCAGGCAGGCAGAGGGCAGGGAGCCCCGGCTGATCTGGGCATCCCTAGGGCTGCCGCTGCTTCCACTTTAGTGAGGCACACCCTCAGTATTACCATGCAGGTGGTGGGTCAAGCCTGATTGTCACTTTATATCAAGGATGGTCTGTGCCCTGCCACTGATGCTGTGTGACGCTGCTGTGGCCCGGGCACTGCTGGGCTAAGCAGCGTGGCTGCAGGCTGGGCAGGAGGAGGTGGCCTGCTCATGTCTGCTCTGACCACAGCGGACTCCGCCCTCTGCGATCATCTCCCCTAGGAACTCTTAGGCAAGGGTAAAGGAAAGGGAGGGAGAGAAGAGGGAAGAGCCACCGTGGAGGAGAGGCAACGCATCTGCTTTTCTTAAAGTATCTTGTTGGAAGTGGTGTGATCTCTGTACTGCAGCAGGAGAAACACACACCATGTAGCTTAGGATGTAGGTACTTATTTCTTGCAAACTTAACAGCGTTTCTGTGTCACTGTTGTGTGCTCATTTTGACTTTTCTTACACTATCCTACAGCTAGACTAACACAATCCTAATGCTGTTTCTCCCTCCAAGGCCCATGTACTGCCCTCAGTGGTTCAGACAGGGAGGTTGCTTTGCCTGGGGCCACACAGCTAGCTCGGAATGCACAGTTCAGGAGCCTTTTCACTGGAGCAAGCTTTCGGTAAATCAAGACTTATTTTAATTCAAAAATTTATGAGCAAAATTAGAGTTTAGTCTATAAACAGGAGAATTAGAAAATGATTTGCTATAGTGGTACAAACCATCTTTATATCGTCCTTTAGTTTATCTACAAGATTGAGGGGCATTCAGAAGTCCTTTATCAGGGATGGGGATATAGCCCAGCGGCATAAGCGCCTGCCTGGCAGGGGCAAGGTCTCAAGTTTGATTCCTGGTACTGAAAAAAAAAAGAAAAAGAATAAGCCCCTTTACAGATCTTATGTGACAAAATCAGATCTGGCGGTAATTTAAAGCTATCTGTCTCCTAAGAAATCTGCATCTCCCAGGAGGCTTACGGTTGCTACCTCTCTTGGGGTCCCTTTGGAACCAAGTCATGCTTTAGGACCTTGGGGATGTCATGCTGCGCAGAAGCAGCCATCTGAGTTCCCATGCCTCTCAGCTTGCTCTCTGAGACAGCTGGAGGGGGGTTGGCAAGCTGTCCCCACACCTGATGGGGACAACCAGCCCATTCAGTGTCAAGGCCCCCGATTGGCAATAAGCTCCTGGTTATCCAGAATCTCTGGAAATCTGCTAGCTGGTGGTGCTGCAGCCATCTAGAGGGGAAGAGAATTTATGGGGGTCAGCTCTATGGCAGGAGCCTGAGAAATTAGGCAGAATCAATTAAGACTGTGGGCAATTGAGGCAAGGGGAAAGACATTAATGTGTGACGACAGAAAGTCAGAAAGAAAGTGGACCAGCCATCACTTGCAACTGCACTCACAAAAGGCCCTCACGTCAACTTGGGAAAGCAATGTGGAAATGAATGACACTATGAAAATATCTGAATTCCCCACCAAATTCCTTTATTAAATCAGTCTTTAATGAGGCCATTCGAAGGAGGCAGAATGCACCAGCAAGAAGTAATGATGGCCTTATGGGTACAACTCTTACTAAGAGGCAGCCCTGACAACCAAGCAGGCATAAATCTGTGAGTGTAGATTGCATGACCTCAGTTATTGAGGAATTAGCTAATGAACTGACCAAACTTTAGGCAGTTATTTTAGAGGTAAAGTGAATTAAGAAAGGGATGCATGGATAGGTTATTGATCTTCGGAGCAAAAATTAAAGGAATTTGGGGGAACTGTGAGCTATTGTTGCATGTCACAGGCACTGTGATGAAATTGGTACAGGGTAACCGCTAGCTTGAAACTAACTTTAACTGGTGCAAAATGCTGGGATGTATTTTAATGATCAGCTGCAGGCCAGAATATGGACATTGTTAAGCATCTGGCTGCGCTGGAAAGGCTGACAGTTTCGTTCAAGGCAAGTGTCAATTTTCTGAGTCTATGTGGGCCAGTGCAGTCGGTAGGAAACTTCCACAGAGCAAAAAACACCCCAATTGGCAGGAAAAGACTGGAAAGGTTATAAAATAGCAACTCTGAAGTCAGGTGATCAAACCCCAATTGCATGTTCTCACAGAGCCCTACAGTCCCACCGAGGAGGCTGCAGAGCCCCTGGTGTGCAGAGGAAGCACTGAGGCTTGGAGGTTAAGTGCTTACCACAAGGAACAAAATGAGCAAGTGCTCAATTAGGGACTGGAACCCCAGTCTTTCCAGCTTTAAATCTGCCACTCCTATGGCACGCTGGAAAGCTTTTGCTGGATGGAGAAACATTTATCTCATGGCTTTCAAAAGGCAGAGTGTTTTCAAATTTACAAATTCAGATGAATACAGCCACAGTCTAAAAGATGCTACGGACAAATGCAGCTGCTCTTTCAGAGGTAGCTATTTCATTATTTAGAACAGAATGTACAATTCCATTAGGAATAGCCTGTTATTCTAAAAGTACTTATTGAGGGCCTACTGTGCGCAAGATGCTGAGATCAGTGTCATATAGGAGGCAGAAAGGCAGGGGGCTAAAGACATGTAAAAGTGTGTAAGACCTATTAGGTGCAGGAAGAAACAAACAGGTAATACCTACATGCATAGGATGGAGTCTGGTCAGGAGTATGAAAAAAGTGCTAACTGCTTTTCCTACTTATTCCAGAGCCACTTAATTTTCTTCTTTCTGTTTTGCATGCTTTTAAATATGTACAATGCACAAGTTTTTAATTTAAAAAAGTTATTAAGCAAGAGCACAGGAAACACATGAGCCTGTATACATGCATGCGGGGGACATCAAGGGAGGGAAACGTGTTGGACCGGGGTTGCGGGCTGGAGGGAGCTTTGGGACAGGGGGTGGCACACACATGACAGGAAGCATGGGTGGAGTCCAAGGTAGAGGGTGGGGAGTTGGCTGAGGTCAGAGTTTGGAGGACTTCATAAGTCAGTGTGAACTTTGCATGAGATTCAGGAAGTTAAGACCAGGAAAGGCTGAGCAGAGAGGCCACTGAGGATCCAGTTACCTCAGAGGTCCAATGGCAGGCAGGGGCACCTGGGGCTGGGTCCAGGGTGGTGATGGGAGTGTGAGTGGAGGGGGTACCCTGGAGGGCTGGAAGGGGTGGCTAAGATGGTGTTTTCAGCACCCAACCTGGCCTGGCTCCAGCTGAGGTTGTGGACTCAGCTGGGGCTGGGATGTGAGAGAGGGGAAGAGCAGGGAGCTGAGCAGGGGCCAGGTGCATGTTGGGCTTGGTGGTGGTGGCCAGGTTTGGAGGCAGGCCAGGTGGGGCTTCAGGCCAGGAATAGGACGTGTGTCTCCCAGACTCAGGGTCCCTGCAGCTGTCTGCATGACACGGAGGCATCATGGCTGCATGCTAGGGACTGTTTGTTGCTGCACTTGGCTTAATTCTTTTGTCATTTGCAGTCCTGGTGGGCTGACACTTGGGTGGCAGAGAAGCCTACTCTTAGAGGGTTGTAGAGATATAGGCAGCTGTCTTCTTACTTCCTGAAAAGGGGGCTTCTTCCTGGCCCCCAGGACTGACTGACTGGTTCCTACAGGAACCCAGCAGACCTCAAAAAAGGGCCGCAGGAAACGAGATCAGCAGGATTCAACCAGCTTGGAGCTTGTCCTGAGGCCACAGGAAACCAGCAATGACCCATTCTCCCCTTGGGCTGGGAACCTGGCCACATGCTCACTCCCAAAGCCATGAAAACTGAGTGGAAAGATGCCCAGAGCAGTAGTTCCTGGTCATTCAGTTTTCCGGTGGATAGTTCTTTTCAGGTAGGTTTTTTTGTTTCCCATACAAGAGGCCCCAGCACCAGCCCGAAGGACAGCCTTTCACAGTCCCCTTGGAGCTCGCAGCCACTGTCCTCTGGCTCTCAAGCCTGCCATTCTTTTAACCTTCAGCTGCATGGAGATGGAGGAGGCAGAAAAGGGGCCTTTTATAACCAAATTATCTCCGTGCATTCATTTGCCATTATGTTAATGCATCACGAAGCTCGGCAGATGGTACAAAGTCAATTATGTGGGTGTTAAAAAGGGAGAAATTGACCTTTTCAGAACTCACTTGGATTCCAGAGCAGAGTTTGCAAACTCGGGCTTCAGGCTGGGCTTGTGGCAAAGACCCACAGGGATTTAGAAGGAGAGGGAGAGGGCCGGGAGACCCACCTGAGAACCAGACACTCACTGGCCGCCTATCATACCTGCACATTCTTTCAAAGAGGCCAGCGTAGCCATCACAGTTGGCCTTCTGGGTTCGCAGGATGTCAGTGGGCTTGAAGGCCTGCCGGTCCTTCTCCTGGGCAGCCTCAATGTCATACTCTGGAGGGCAGAAGAGAGGCAGAAAGGAATCAGGGCTCCGCGGCAGCTAAGATGAGAGAAGGCCCCACTACACCAGTACCCACCAGCTCCCCAGGCCCAGCTGCTCTGTGGGTATCATCAGGCCAGGGGAGCCACAGTGGGCTGATTGAATCCAGGACACCAGACCCAGCTACATCTGGAAGGATGTCATCTTTTGTTCAAGTGATAAGAGGAGGAGTGAGGCAGAGCGAGAGAGGTTACTGGCTCTCTGACCTCCAGGGAGGAGCTATGTGTGCATGCAGGCATGCGTCCAGGAGCAGTAAATAGTCTCCCTTGGATAGTCTCTTTTTGTTCCTGCCCCTTTGAGACCAGGCCTTGCAGGCAGGGTTGGAGTGGGAAGAGGTGGTCCCTCATGTTCACACCCTCTACTGATGTCAGCTGAGTTCATCCTCTCAGCTGCTTTTGGGAGGACAAAGAAAAAGCCTATGACAGGTTGGGGGAGGCCGGGCTGCTCTTCCTGTCCAAGGACTAGGAGTCTGTGCTGTGATTGACACCTCCATCTTCTTATTTGCACTGGCAAGATTTAGCAAGGAGTGGCTTTCCTTGGCTTGGCTTGGCCAGTGAGATTCCCAAGGCCACCCTCTAAGAACCTGGGGCCTGGGCTCAGTCTTATGGCGGGGGTCATCAGTGTGGCAGCAGGGAGCAGGGAGAACAGAGTCTGTCTGTCCTTCCTAGCTATGTACTTTATGGAACCTCTGGTGCTGCAATAACCTTCTGAACTGTGGCTTCCCCAACAAATAGAAATCCTTGTGGAGATTGCCTTGTGTCCTCAGTCTTCTTGTCTCTGTAAATCAGGCTCTTTAGGAAGCCAGGATGAGAGAAGGCTCCTGCTGAATGGGGATCTTGGCTCTGGAAGGTGCCTGGTTAGTCTCTCCTTACTCAACCCAGCCCTTGAGGAGACATCCCCAACTTTCCAACTCACTCTACACTCACTGGGGTAGGGCCCTGCTGACAGTAACACCACGTTCTGGAGCCAGCTGCAGCACAAGGGGGCTTACCTATGTGGTGGCAGATCCAGATCCAGATGGCACGGACCCTTTCCAGATCACTGTGGGCCTCCTGGAGCAGGTCACTCACCAGTTCATCTAAGCCACTCTTGACCGTCACCTGGGGAGCAGGAAAGGCACTCTGCATCAGGCCTGGGAAGTTCAGAGCTGGGTCTCGGATGTGAGGAAAGGGGCCAGCAGCGAGCCAATGCAAGGCTCCCACCGACCTACAAAGTCCTCCAAGATCTGACCCCAACCACCACCTACCCTGCACCTTGGACACCACCCACATATGCATACTTTTTCTCATATACACGCTGCTCCCCTCCCCGAAAACTCCTTTCAGGCCCCAGCCTAGGCTCAGCATCTCACACTTTTGACCAGTCTTGCCCTCCCTCCAGGCAGGGAAGCTGAAGGAGAGGTACAAAGGGTAGACTGAAGACAAATCACACAGAGATGGGGGAGAGTCAGACAAGGCAGGTGGTGCTGACCAGCTGAATCAAGTCATAACTATAGGACCACCACAACTTTTCTCTGAAGGTCCTGGGGCCAGGTGGGCATGTGGACAGCTGTGGCTGCTTCTGGTTATGTTACCACTCCCAAAACCAATCTATGAATGCAACACAATCATTATCAAAATCCCAACAGCTTTTGGAATGGAAAAAACGATACTCAAATTCATGTGAAATTGCAAGGGGCTCCATAAAGACAAAGCAATTTTGAAAAGAGAGTAAGGGTAATGGGTTCACTCTATTTCAAAACTTAACAGAAAGCTAGTCAAAGCATGTAGACCAGTGGAATAACATTAAGAGAGATGAGCCTATATATCTAGGTCCAACTGCTTCTTGATAAGGGTGCCCTGTCCATTCAGTAGGGGGAAGAACAGTCTCTAAGAAATGACATTGCAACCCTGGATTTCCACATGCAAAAGAAGGAAGTCAGACCTCTACCTCACACCATATACAAAAGTCAACTCGAAATGGACCAAACACTCACACGTAAGAGCTTGAACCATAAAACTCTTAGAAGAAAACAGGGGGGTAGGTCATCATGACCTTGGAGTTTGACAATGGACTTTTAGATATGACACCAAAGATATGAGTGACAAAAAAAAATAGATAAATTAGGAGTTCATTAGAATAAAAGATTCTGTACCTTAAAGATACTATTAACAAAGTGAAAGGGCAATTTGGGAGCATAGGAGAAGATATATTAAATCGTATACCTGACAGGGTTTAATATTTAGACTGCATAAAGAACTTCTATAACAGGACAAAAAGACAATCCAACTCAAAAATGTGTAAAGGACTGGGTTGAGCAGACATTTCTCCAAAGAGTATATGCAAATGTTCAATAAGCACATGAAAAGAAATCCTTAGCATCATTAGTCATGAGAAAAACACAGATTAAATCCACAATGCGATAACACTTTATAACTACTAAGGTGTCTCCTAGGATGTCTACATTAGTGGCGGGGTTCTAAAGTGGAGCAGTGGTGTTCCTGTGGTGTTTTCCAAAAAGTTAGGCAGAGGACTGTCATGTGATCCAGAAATTTCCCTGCAAAGTGTGCACACACGGCAAGCACTGCAGACAGGAAGTCAATCAGACACTTGTCCACTAATATTTGGCAGTACAACAGGCCAAAGCTAGAAGCAACTGCCCTGTCCATTCGTACATGAATGGGCACACACAGTGTGGCTTATACATACAATGAAATATTATTCAACCAGAAAAAGAAATAATTACGTTTATTCCATCCAATGTGTGGTACTAAGTGAAATAAGCCAGACACAAAAAGACAAAGGGTGGGTGATTCCACTTAAATGAAATATCCAGCATAGGCAAATTCATAGATTATGGGGAGGGGGGATGGGAAGGGGTGGGCATGGGACGTCATTCCTTGAAAGTGTTTACAAATAGATACTGATGATTGTGAATATAATTAATATCAGTGAATTTTATACTAAAATGATTAAAATGTCAAGGGCTTTTTTGCTTTTTTTTTTTTTTTTTGAGATAGAGTCTTCCTATGTAGTTCAGGCTGGCCTTGAACTCACTTTGTAACTGAGGCTGGGCTCAAACTGGTGGCAAGCCTCCTGCTTCAGCCTCCTGAGGGCTGGGGATTACAGGTATGTGCCAGCATGCCTGGCTAAAATGGCAAATTTTATGTCACAGGCATTCTGCCATGGTAATAATCATAAAAGAACGAATTAGCCTTCTAGGGACCTTCCAGGGAAAACTGGTCTAGGACTGCTAGAAAGGCAGCCTTGATCCCGGCCAACTTTCTAGAGAAGCTGAGGCAGCTGCCTCCCCTGCCGTGGTGCCTGCATCTCTCCAGCTGCACTGTGAAGATCTCTCTGACTGCTGGAACTGCGAGAGTCGCCTCGAGGCAGCCCTGCCACGCTGGTGCTTTGACCTCCTGGAGGCCCTCGGGCCCCTTTTTACCACTCTGCCATAGTCTTCTGCTTCACCCTCTTCCGTGGCCTGCCCTACTCCATGTTTCTTTCTCCTCTGTCCCTCTCTCAGGGCCCAGCACACTGTCTGACGCAGCACTTTGTCCTCACTGGCCCTGGGCTGCTGTTCTGTGGCCTGGTCCTGGGGCACCCTCTTCCTGGCCTTCCCTGGCCACCCACTGCTCTGGGGCTGTGTCTCTGGTCTCAGCTGGGCTCCTGGGGCTGGCCTGGCCAGCAGCCTGTCCCAAGCCTTCAGTTTTCCTGTGCCCCGTCTCCTCAGATTGGGACTTACCCCACCTACGCCTCCGATCTCCACAGATGGCCAAGTGTTAGCTTACCCTGAGGCCAGGCAGAATTGGCTTCCAGCGATGCCCTGCTCCTCCCTCTGGCTTTAGCTATCTCTATGCTGGCTTTGGTCCGGGCCTCCTGCTCTGCAGAGACTGTTCTTCCTCAGCCAGGGCCTTTCTGTCCCATTTCACCCGCCTCCCTACTGTCCAATTCTGATGATGTCTGTGTCCCTCTGCTCTCCCATTCTAAATATTTCCCCAGGCTTTTCCTCAGTCCTGCACAACCAGCCCCATCCCCTCCTGCCTCCTGGGCATCTTTGTCCACCATCTCTTCCATCCTCCAGCCCCTGGTGTCAGGCCAAGGCCTCCAGCCCCTCTGGAGAATCACTTCTGATTCTCCCACCCACCCAGCTCTGAGGCAGGAGATAGTGGCAGCTCATGAACTCTGGAATGAATGTGGCTGTAGTCACAGGAACTCAGGCGTCTGCACTCATGGGCATTTCCCATCCTCTCCCTCCATTTTTCTGAGAGCTGCAATATGGCACAGCTCAGCAGCAGGGATATCCAGATGGGCAGGTACAGGGCAGGGCAGGGCTGGCCAGAGGGGCCTGTCAACAGTGTGGCTCCAGGGTGTACAGCCGGGGGTGGAAGCGTAGGATGCTGGGTAGTGCTGGGGAAAGGAATGGCCCCAGGTCCTGGGCAGGCATCTGTGCCTGAGCCTTCTGTTCCCAACCACATGTTGTGCAAAGGCATGTAAGGGCCATCCACCTCAGTGACTCAGAACACCTGCAGGCGGGGCTAAGGGACACTTGAGGTTCTTGGCCAGAGGGCCAGCTCTCATACCTGTGAGGCGTAGGTGTCCAGCTTTTCAAACTGATGCAGATCCAGAGGCATGGACTTTAGGCTGGACCGGTCCCAGGGGTAGGCTGGAAACACAGGGAAGTTCTATGAGCAGCTGGCCCCTCCAAGGAGGGCTGCTTGGCCCAGGCCTTGCTAGCTCTTGGAAACTCTGCGACTGATCACCTTCTAACAAAATTCCTAAAGCCCAAAACACTGGTCCCAACAGATGCATTTCCTAGAAGGGTTCTTTGGGCTAATTAGTTTGGGTACCATGGTAGCTCTTGTAGTCCTTTTGAATACCCACAGGGAACAGGAGCTGATTTTGCAGACCCTGAGATAATAGGGTTTAAAAAATTGGCTTAACCTCAGTCAGCCCTGCACTGAAGTTCCCAGACATACTAATGATGGAATTCATTTCCTGTCATTTAGTTTTCTGGAGATTCCCATGGGGAGTGCCCAGGCGATGCTGCTGGCCAGTGACAAATTCGAGAGCGTGGGTCTGCACCATGGACATGCACTGGGGGAGGCTCATCTGGCAACCGGACAAGCTTCTTCTCTTGTCCATGGCTAGAGGGAGCCTGAAGAATCCCACCAAAGCCATCTGTGGAGTGGTGTTCTGGTGCCAGAAGCACTGTGAACAGGGGTGCAACCTGCTCAGAGACTGGACCTCAATCAGAGCTGCAGGAGGAAGGAAGTCAAGACTCATGCTGACCCAGGGCCACCTGGACTGCACATGGGACCCAAAAGAGCCACAGTCAGTCCTGGGAGGTGGAGCTGTATCTCAGGGGCAGGCCCCCATCCTGGCTCCTCCTCACCCCTCTGATACTGGAGATGGGGTATTTTGCTGGGCAACGGGACTGAGACTATCATGAATCCCTGCCCTGTGGGGTCCAACCAAGCCACTCTCTAACCCTCAGAAGGAACATGCCACCAGACTCCTCCAGAGTGTCCCCAGTTCTCGGGAGTCATCAGGTCACCTGAGTGGCTATTCATTGGGCTTCAAATTAACACGTCTCCATGCATTGTTCTCCCTAAAGAAGAGGGATGGCGTCTCCAAAGTACAATTGGACACTCTGTTTTACTAGCTTTCTCTTTTCTTGGTTTTATTATATAGTATTTAATATTTCACATTAAATACACCTATTCTACAAATACTCTTATAAAAATATGACCCTTCTATAATAGAGGACTTTTCAAAAAAATCTATAATGATTTATGCCTCATAGAAGTTACCTTTTGAGATTATACAGGAGCCAAATGTGACTTTGCACCAATGTATGTGAAACACTAGTAAGATTAACTAATCATTCTAATATTAAAGTGAAAGTGTAGGAAGAAATGCAGGGCTGAGCCAGGCCTTAAATCTGCTTTACTGAGGGGGAAATAGAGGCCCAGGGAAGGCAAGGGAGGGAAGAGCAGGGTTCCAACCTAATCTGTCCATCACCCTTTCCCATCCGGTGTCCCTCCTTCTGCCTTAGTCTGCTTGTTCACCTGCCTCATCCTACCCTACAGACATCTGGCATTCCAAGTCAAGTTGATGTAATTCTGAATTCAGTTTTAATGTTTCTTGCACTGTGCAGATTTGTTATTGGAACAGGTTAGTTTGTAGCTCTGCAATGACCTCTGGAATGAAAGCTTTCCCCTTCTCCACCTGTTCATAGAAGACCTAGTTTATCCATCATGACACTTGTCCCTTCAAATTCAGAGATGGCCCCAGACTCTCGACAGCCCCCTGAGAAGTCATCGCCAATTGCTCCGAGATCAGAGCACAAGGCTAACAATATGTTCTTTTGAGAATGGCCCTAGAGAGGAGCGGGAACTCACCAAAGGCATCTTTGTTTCCAGGCTGCGGTGGTCTTGTGTTTCCATTTTTATCACTTTGTAAACCTACAATATTCCAAAAGTCAGAAGTAGAGTCATTTTAGAAGACAAAGAAATGCAAGGTCTGATGATTCTGCCAATGATTCTTAGCAGGTCTTGATTCTGAGCCCTTTTCCACACTCCTTTTCACAGTTCCCTTGCCCCTATCCTACCCTCCACCAAGTGGTGAACAGTGGGACAGGGGAAGATAGGGAAACAGGGACTGCTTGAAAGGATGGGGAGCTGCAGTCTGTGGGCAGAGGCAGGAAGCGCTCAGACCTCTGTGCGTTGGATCACGGGCCCACTTGGAGCCGGGTGCTCCTGCCTCCTCTCATTCTTCTGCCATCTTTGAACACCACTGGGCATGTTGACAGGATGAAGGCTTTCCCTCTGGATAACCGCAGCACAAGAAAGGACCATGGGTAAATGAGAATGGAGGAGGGGAAGGCAGCCTATGGTGCTTGGGATCCAGAAAGATTAAGTATGGTAGTAATCAAGTGACAACTGAGTGCTGCAAATTTGGGAACATTAAGGCCAAAAGGCTGCTGGTAGTTAAGGCTCTATGGGGAAATGAAAAAGAACATTTCCTGCTGATTTGAAATCAGGTCAGGAAGGTTTGGTCCCTGAAGGAAAACAGGCAGCATTGGAGGTGGAGGATGCCAAGGCAAGTGCTTTATGTCCTTAAAAGTCACTTTAGGCTATAAATACAACAACAAGAGATTGCAAACATACACAGGCCTTTCTGAGAAAGGATGGTATTCTATTTCTCACACTAATGTTTTGTTACTGCCTCCACCCTTTGGTAGAATGAAAGAGACTGGAAAAAGTCTCCCTCTCTGTATTCCTCTTGTTTACCATGAAATGTACTCATGCACGAGGAGCTCTACAAGGTAATGGAGGAGGTCCAAGGGGCTGGCTGTGCTGTGCATGGAGTCAGCCAAGCACCACGGTGAAGGCCAGTGGATTCAGAGTTGGATCTGAGTTCTGATCCACCTCCTAGGTGTGCAACTTGGGAAAGTATTTTGTCTTTCTAAACCTCAGTTTGATGATCTAAAAAGGTGACAATAATACTATTAGGATAGTATATTTAATGAAGAGAAATTCTTTAGCATCATGAATGCCCTTCTTACACAGTCAACAAATGGTATCTAAAAACACCAACAACACTCTTGTGATAAAATGCCCCTTCAGCTATATGCCGGTGTCACTCAGGACTAATTCCAGAGACACAAGAACAGTGGAGGCTGGGTGGGGAAATCTCCCAACATAAAGCTGGCATGCCACTACCTTTTCCAAGTTTGGAGGGCCAGGCTACTGTTCCCCTTTCCTCAGAAGATTCCAAGGCTGGGATCTGGCCCACCCTCCTTCCCTCAATCTTCCCTGCTGGCCCTCCACCATGAGCACCCCTGTACGTACGTACGTTTAGCCAAGGAGAACTTCTTGAGAAACTGGGGCATGGCATCTCGAGGGTGGACCTCCACTGTCAGCTGCGTCCCTGCAGAAGGAAGGAGAAAGGAGGCGCCACCTCAGCCAGGCTGTCAGGAACTCATCCATTGTAGACCTTTCTTTCAAACATAGGAGTAATTCATTTTTAAAAAACTGAATCAACAAGCAAGCAGATGATTTCTAGATCTAGGAAAGGTGAAGCAGTGGTGCTAGTACACTGTGCCTGCCTCCCAGTGGATGCAACCCTCTATCCTGGGCAGAATGGCTGGGAAGACTATTGGCAGCAGTACGAGGAAGACTGTAGAGAGAAACCAGTACTTAAAGCATTACCAGATTGGCATTCTCTTGCCTGCCCTAGCTTCAGCTAGACTGGACTCACAGGCATCTCCAAAGCCAGAGCGCAAAAGGGAGGGAGAGGAAAAGCGTGCAAGAGAATTTGCCCTTTCTGTTTGAGAAGGGTGGGGGAGGTTTGAGAGAAAAGAGGAAAGCCCCAGTCTTGTGTTTTCCTCTCGGTTTCTGGCTTTGCACCTAGACAGTTCTGTTGGCAGCAGCGATGTTGGCAGGCAGGCAGGCAGGCACCTCAGGCTTTATCTCCTTTCAGAGGGCTAAGATTTCAAGAGTGCAGAGGGAAATGCTCATTGTCTTTTCTGTTTTCTGCTGCTTGGCCCCAAATACAGACGCAGATAGGAGAAGTACATGGCTGAATAAAGAAACCAAAGCCTTGCTTTTTGGTCAGAGGCCCAGGAAGTGGACCACGAAGAGGAAGGAACTACAGAGAGCAACTCCTCAATGTAGGAGATGAAGTCTGAGGTCACCTCTGAGCTCTTCACGTGCTGATCTTGTCTTAAACGTCATACCAGAGTTTTTCAGAATGAAACTCTGGGCAAGACCAATGGCCCAGTTCAAGTCTGACCACCGGGTGGCACCCACGCAGGCAGATTTGTATAGCATGGTGAAGGCTACAGTCCTCAATTTTTCAGCAAGAGACTCAGGAAAATCTCCCTTGGAAAGGAAAAAGGTAACCACATTCAATCCTGTGATGACACAAAGGCAGAGAAAGATCTTAAGAAAAACACAGCAGCCATGCTGCAAAAAGTGAGGACAAATAGTTCAGCAGTAGAGTAAAGATACAAAGTACCGGCAAATAAATGGCACCATTGGAAAGAGGCAAACTAGAACAGCACTGAGATTCACCCAGAAAGATGGCTGTCATCGAGAAAACAATAACAAATGCTGGAGGGGCTGAGGGGGAAAAGGAGCTCTTGTCCAGTGTTGGTGGGAGTGCAGGCTGGTGCCATCACTGCGGAAATCAGTGTGGAGATTCTTCCAAAAGCTAAAACTAGAGATTCCATTTGGCCTTTCTTGGAATCTTCCTGAAAGAATTAGAAGGATCATGTCATAGCAATATATGTGAACCCATATCTATGTTGGCACAATTTGTAATAGCTGGAGCTTGGAAACAAGCCAAATGCCTATCAACTGATGAATGGATAAAGAAGATGGATTTCTTTTATGCAATGGAGTACTATTTGGCCATAAAGAAGGATAAACTTGAGACACTTCTGGGTAAATGGATGCACCTTGAGGCCATACTCTGAAGTGAAATAAACGGATTTGAATATTGAATGATTTCTCTGGTGTGAGAAAGCAAAAGTGCGCATGAGGACAAAAATGCATAACAGATACTGGGAAATGGGAAGAAAATATTCAAATGAGAAGAGGAACAAGGGAGGAGGAGGAGGAGGGAAGGAAAGAAGGACAAAAAAACAAAAGAAGAGGGGAGACAGATTGGCAGTCTAAATGCCTACTTGGCAAGCGCAAGGATCCGGGTTTGATCCCTCAGGCCGTGCTGGCCATCGAAACCAGGCATGGTGGCTCCCGCCTGTAATCCTAGCACTGGAAGATCACTATGAGTCTGAGCTGAACAGTGAGATTCTGTACCAAATAAATAAATGATTTTAAAAAACCAAAGAAGAAGAAGAAGAAGAAGAAGAAGAAGAAGAAGAAGAAGAAGAAGAAGACGACGAAGACAAAGACGAAGACAAAGACAAAGACAAAGAAGAAGAAGAAGAAGGGACACAAAACTTTTGTAAACAAGAAGAAGAAGAAGAGTTGATGGGAGGGGATGGGAATGTACAGGTACAAATGCTCTATGATATGTGATTGTTATGTATATCTCAAATGTACCAAATAAAATAGAAAAACACGGAAAAAAAGACCCAAAGGAAGAATAGACAAATCTACAATCACAACTGGAGATATTAGCACACCTCTGTCAAGTACCATAATTGAGAGGTTTAATAGGAAATTAGCAACTACATACAATAAGTGAACAATACCATCAGTTAGCAGGATTTATTTGCTATTTGTAGAATACCTTATGAAACGACAACATGATACAAATTCATGTCAAGTGTCTACAGAATATTCGCCAAGATGGAACTTATGCTATGTAGTAAAACAAACCTTAAACCAGTTTAAAATAATCAACATCATACAAAGCTGTTCTCTATCATGCAGTTATAGCTCGAAGTCAAAGATAGAGATTAATTGGAAACTCTTCAAATACTTGAAAATTAAGTACATACTTCCAAATAATTCTCCCAAAGAGGGAGTCTTTGGGAGAAATTAGAAAATATTTTGAACTCAGTAAGAATGAAAATCTAGAATGTGTTCATTTCAAAATGTGTTCTATGAAGACAAAGAAATTCTTAAAGGAAAATCTGTAGCATTAAATTCTTACATCAGAACAGAAGAAAGATCTCAGATTATTAATCTAAACTTCTAATTTAGTAAGACAGAGAAATAATAGAAAATAAAATCCAGGCCAAGTAAAGAAATGATGTAAATATGAGAATAAGTTGGTGAAATTAAACATAAAACAAAACATAAATGAAAGCAAAACCTACCTCTTTAAAAGATAAGTAAAATTGATACACCTTGAGCTAGAGGAATAAACAAAAAGGTATGACACAAACGAGTAGTTAAAAAGAATAATAATATTGTATGCTGACACAATATAAAGAAACTGGATCTTATACATTCCTGATGGGATTATAAAATAGAATAGCTACTTGAGAAAATAGTTGGGCAGTTTTCTTTCTTTTTGTGTTCCTTACTTTTTAAAAAAAAATTATATTGCCCAGGCTGGTCCAGTGTTCATGGGTTTAAACGAAGGGCCAGGGAGATAGCTCAGTAAAATAAGAGCTTGCCTGGCAAGCACAGGGTCCTGAGTTCAATCCCCAGTCCCACAAAACAAAGCAAAACAAAAACAAAACAAAAAACCCAAAAAAAAACAGATGACATGGGTTTAGGTGACCCCCCTCCCCCGCCTCAATTTCTTAAGGAGCTGGTGTTGCGGGTGACTGACTGGCAGTGTCTTACAATACAAAACATATACTTAGCAAAAACACCCACCAACTGTGTTCTTGGGCTTTTAATCCAGAGAAATGAAAAGTTATGTTCACACTAAAACCTCCGTGGGAACATTTACAGTGGCCTCACTCATGCTACCCCAAACTGGAGACAACGTGAATGTCCTTCTGGGAAAGGTTAGGTAGACAGTTGGTGATGTGGCAATGCAAAGAAATCCTAAACAACACAAAGGAACTCTTAAGAGTAATGGGGAGATTAGACTTGGGCCAGGGAACATTGTCGAAGTGGAGGTGTTCATTATCCTGAGTATGGAGATTATTATATAAATCTTTGCATGTGTTAAAAGTCAGGAGTACACGACATACTACAAAACTTAATTTTCTTTTTTAAGCTGGTTCAGCCCACCCTGAGGGCGAGGCTGACATGGCATGTGGTGCCGGGGATCGAGCCGCAGCCCCTTGTGCCAGCCTAAGCTTACCTAGCAGGTGATTTAGACCTCTGAGCTATCTCGCTGGCCAAAAAAATTAAATTCCTTGACTCTTAATTAAAAATAAAAATACTAACAGCAGATAGACAAAAAACCCAAGTAGAATTAAACAAAAATAAAAATGTGTATAGTACAGGAAGATACCAAGGAGGTAAAAATCATTTCAGACATAATTTCTACATTTAAAAGTTCAAAAGCAGAATTCTAATAAACATGCTATTTGCAATCTGCTTTATTTAAGTCTCCAAATATTGGCAAATATTGCTATAGGTCATTATTTTATTTATTTATTTTTGTATTTTAGGGAAGGGTCTACAGGGTATTCAGGGTCTCACTACTAGATCAGACTCATAGTGATCCACCTGTTTACAGCCTCCCAAGAGCTGGGATTACAGGTGTGCATCACCTCGCCCAGGCTCAATTGCTGTCTCAGTGCATCCTGAGGGAGGGGCCAGCACAGCAGGTGCAGGGATTGAACCCCTGACCCCTGTGTCTGCTAGCAGGCGCTTTAATTGGCTGAGCTATTTGGCCAGCCCTATTACTTTTCAATCCTTTGGGTAAATATATATGTATGCAAAACATGAAGATTTTTTAAATGGGTTATAAGATTTTGGCAAATCTTTTTCATGAGCCATTTTATTGGTTTATACATAGTCCTACCAAGAGTGCAAAAGTACTGCCATTTTCCTCATTCTTACTCTGGGTGACTGCAAAATTGGCTAAGATACTGTGTTCTTCCCAGTGAAGGGCCTTCTGTTTCACTCCCTGAACTTAGACTACATTGTGACTTAGTCTGGCCAAAAAAGCGTGTGGCAGAAGGGCTGTTATATAAGTCCCGAGCCTTGCTGGGAGTGATGGTGTGGCTATGGCTCTCATTCATGGGATCCCTGCCACCACCGCCCGTGGGTGGGCCAGGCTGCAGATGAGACAGCGCATGGAGCAGGGCACAGCCTTCAGGTGAGGCGCTCCAGGACCAGCTGGTGTCCAACCAGCTCTGCAGCTGACAACCGACACATGCGCAAGCCCTGCCAAGAGCTGCAACCAGCTGGGCAGTGTTTGTATGGGAAGGCGAGGCCACCTGCAGACTTGCTAGCTGAGTGAATTCTCACTATTTTCAGCAGATAAATTTTCTGACGGGGCATAATGCAAAAATAGGTTACTGATACTGACATTTGATTTTAGCAAGTATTTACATTTTTATCAATGAATAACAGTATCTCTGTTTTTGTGCATTTAATTTTTAGTGTAATATTGTTTTCCTATATTATTTGCCATTTAAATTTCCTGTTTTGCAAATTGACAATTTTCCTATTAATTTTTTACTTTTTTCTTATTGATTTTTGTAAAAGTGCCTTTTATTAACACTTTGTCTGCTAAATGTGGTGCAATTATTTTTTGCAGAAAGCCATATTGATTTTCTTGTGTAGCTTATAAACTTGCTCTGCACCCCCAAAAGGCCAGTTCTCAAAACAATTAACAAACATGGATATTGCATTGAAGGAGTGAACCCCTTTCTTTTTGCAGTAAGCATCAAACTCATTATCTTTTTGCTGAGCTACACCTTGGCCTTTGTTACTCTTATCTTTTTATTTTGAGACAGGGTTTCCCAAAATCACGTAAGTTGCCCAGGCTGGGCTTTAACTTGATGTCCTTCTGCCTCAGCCTCCTAGAAGCTGGAATTAATATTCATTCTTGAGGTGTAGTTCCCAGCGTATTCACTGTCACAGAGTTTCAGCCTTGTGATTGCATAATAAAGCCATTATTTTAGAATTCAAGTTCAGCTCTGGTCGTAGACCAGGTGATGCCGCCTGAGCGGCCAGCCCGTGCCCCTGTGTGTCTTCCCCTGGTGCATGAGGCATGGACCTGCTCTTGGCTCTTCGACGTTCTCCACCCACAATGCTCTGAGATGCTTTTCAAAGTGGGTGCTGGGTGATGCGTCGCTACAAAATGGTTCGTGAAGGATGAACGGGGAAGCATGCTCGCTCCCCACACCTGTGAGTCCCAATTCACCGTGCTCTGAGAAGTTTGCAGCAAAACTGTTTGATCCAATATTATGTTGTCAAACACAGTTTGGAAAATGCTACGTTGGGACAATCTCCACAGGTTTTGAGGAGCTGTGAAAGCCAGCTTAGCACGGACAGAGTGTCAAACACAAAGCTCTCTCCCAAACCTCTCATCACATCCAGGGACTTCCAACCACTCACAATTTGGCAATATCTCTCTGCTGAAGACAATCGAGCTGAAAAACAGAGCACTGAATATGCCCTTCCAGGGCTGAAGTTGGGACAGTTTCATGGGGGGGGGGTCCCACTGTTCATTAACATACTCCCTCTAGGTCTCTGCAGGTCTCGGTTAGGAATTGTCTCATGGTCTGATATGTTCTGTCACCACCTGCAGTCTTCCCTTTCCTTCTTGCAATTCTCCTTCCCTCTTGGACAGGGACCAAGGTCCATGTTCTCCAGAGTCTCACTTCCTGGATTTCTCCAGAGCTGTGTGACTGCTCAACAATGACTGCAGGACAGCAGCAAAGCCTTGGTGTCCCTGCCCAGTTTCTCTTGGTTTCCCTCCTGAACTTGGAGTACAAGTACTGCCCCTGCCCAGTTTCTCTTGGTTTCCCTCCTGAACTTGGAGTACAAGTACTGCTCTTCTTCACAGATGCATGGAAGAACCTCTGGGAGGTTCCACTGGCTCCAAGAACTGGGTTTGGGATGGACACACTGTCTCAAAGTGAGGGGCCTTGACAAGGCACACCATGCTTCCTACCTGGACAGAGCATGCAGACTCAGACATTCCTATACCAAATACAACTTTTAAGTACCAATAACATCTTTTAAGAAAAGATGTTAATTTGATCCACCTCCAATTATAGAAACTCATCATTTGGAGCAAAATTCATAGTCAGCGCTAAACCCTAAGTACAAGTGAACACCAGTACACTGACCTTGACCATTAACATCACACCAAATGGAAAGGAGGCACTTCCTGGGACATCAGGCGGCCAGGCTGGCCTCTCTCATGTCATCTCTCCCTTATGTTCCCAGCTGGCATCCAGATAGCATTTCTGAAGCTGCAGCTTTGGCTATCTTAACATGTGAAAGATCCTTACTGCCCCGTGAAGTGGCTTCTGGATGCTTTTCCTAAACCCTACCTGCTTGCTTTCCATTTTCTTGCCCTTCTGAGGAAGCAGAAACACACTTGGCAAGTCCCAACATGTTTTTATGTACTGCCTTGGGGCTGCCTTTACCTTGTGGGCAATTTCTCCCACCTGACCTATTCTTTTTAGGTTTCAATCAGGATGTGTCTAAAGGTCTAATCTGCTCTGGAATGGCAAACAGGTTTCTCATTGTTAATTAACTCTAACTGATTGGAAGTGGCTGCCTGGAACACTGATCAATTAACAAAGACCAGGAGGCATATGGGTGTGTGTGTGTGTGTGTGTGTGTGTGTGTGTGTGTGTGTGTGTGTGTGAATGCGCATGCCTGTGTGGGTACATATTGTGCTCAGGAGCCATGGAGCTCATGTTAGATACTTGGCATTGTTGACTTAGGTGTTCATTACTTCCTTTTGTAATGTGCTGTCACATTTACAACTGGGACACTGAGGGCAGCCCTTCGACCTTACAAATCATGCTCGGGTCCTTTGCAGTGACTCATCTTTGTCCCCCACCTGCGTACATCCCTCCCTCCCCTGCCCAGCAGAGCCACCTGCTCCCTGAGCATGTCAGAGGTGCTCCCCACTCGGCGTGGGGCCTCACACTTCTTGCTCTCTCTGCTGACAGCTCTTGCCAGATGTTCTCATGGTTTCTCCTCCCTTCACTTCCTTCCTGCTCGGATGACACCTCCTCAGGGAGGCTTTTCTTCTCTCTCTTTCTCACACTTGAGATCAGACCTAGAGCCTCACGATGCTAGGCAAGTGCTCAGCCACTGAGTTCTGCCTCCAGCCTACTCGCTTTTGCATCATTCCTCACGGTAGGCTGAATAATGGCTTTTGAGAAAACCCATATCAGAATCTCTGGAACCTTGGAGGGTTACCTTACCCAGCAAGAGGCACGTCGCAGACATGGTTACATTAAGGATTCGGAGATGGTGATGCTATTTTTAATTATCAGGAAAGGCCTAAATGCAACCGCATATGCCCTTAGAAGAGGGAGACAAAGGGAGACTTGACTAGTTAAGAGAAAGAAGGCAACACGATGATGGAAGCGGGGACTGCAGTAATGGCCACAAGCGAAGGGTTTACAGCAGTCAGTGGAAGCAGAAAGAGACAAGGATGGATGCTCTGTTAGAGGCTCCAAAAGGAACCAGCCCTGCTCATCCTTTGACACTAGCTCAGAAGACTGTGGCTTCTAGAAGCCTAAGAAGGTTAAATCTGTATTATTTTAAGCTATGAAGTTTGTGGAAATTTGCTATAGCAACTGTGGGAACCCAATCTACAGCGTGGCTCACCTGCCACTCCTTGTCATCATTCCTGCTTTATTATCTCCTTCAGCCTTATCTGACTCATTGTATTTTCCTTGGTAGGATTATCTGCCCTTCCGAGCTAGGACACCACTAGGACACCAAGTCCACCGGGGGCAGGAGCTTTCATTTTGTTCACTAAATGGGATAAGTGGTTGCTAATCCAACCTCTTCTAGCAAGGTATCTTGAGGTCCGTGGTCTCACCTGTCCTGGAGCTGTCCTCCCAGAACTGTAGCCTCAAGGGATGTTGGTGAATACAAATTTTGAGAGCAGACTCCCTCTTGCTAGTGTCCTGGGTTGCTTGCCCCTTTCATACTGTCTGCCCGCATCTTGTGGAGATACTGGGTTGCTGACATGTCTGAGAGCAGTTCTCTACATGGCAGAGTCCCCAAAACCTTCTGCTTCTGATGGAGCCCCCTTGATTTGATCAGATGACTTCTTGCCCCCTTGATTTAACTACGAAAGTCATCTGATGACTTCTTGCAGGTTAGGACATCAGCACTGAGAGTAGTGCTGGTAATTCTTAGGCTGGGTCTATGAGAGCCCTGACACCAGGTTGGGGGGCTTAATACAAAGTAGTTGCATTATGGGTGCATAATAACCAGCCCTCCCCTGCAGCAGTGTTGTGGTCCCAGATCCAGTCAAGTGCAGTCAGCCTGGTAATGCCACGGCTGGTCCTCCCTGTCCTCCACAGCTTGCCCTGGGACAGGGAAGATTCCCAAGGAAGGGCCCTACCTCCATGCCTTGCTGCACCAGACTCGGATGTGTGTGGAATGCCCTGGGAAGGCTCAGTCGGAGGCAAAGCCAAGGACAAAGGAGGACCTGGACACTGTGAACCAGCAGAGGGAGACTGGTCTACAGTGTAGCTGCAGAAATTGAGCCAGTGGAGATTAATATCTGAGGGCTTTCTGGGAAAGAGACCAGAGTGCCAGCTCACTCTTGCTGGCCATGTGATCTTGGATACAGGACTGCCTATCGAAGCCTCAGTTTACTTATTTTTAAAATAAGGACAGTGAAAGCACCTATCAAGTAGGATTGCTGTGAAGCTTAATGTACAGGAGGATAAATGTGTAAATGGCTTGGCAGGACACTGGGCACATAGTTAGCACTCAATAAATATTAAGGATGGTGATGACAACGATGGCAATGATGACGCTCGGCTCTGTGGTCCAAGGATTTCATTTCTTGATGCAAGTGAAAGGCAGACTTGGACCACAGAGCTGTTCAATGCTTGCTCTGGCATACAGGGAGAGAAAAAGGATATTCCTACCTCCACGGGGCAGGAAAACCTGCTCCTTGTAGCTGGAGCTGCACACCCCAGGCCGTCTCAGGCCGGGCTGGCAGACAGAGGGGCACAGGCACAGGAGAGGTCACAGCTAGCAGAGAATCACTTACCTTGGTTGTCATAGGAAGTGATGACCTGGGGCTGCTGAGGGTGCTGCTTCTCTGCCAGGTTTCCTATTTAAGGAAGACAGAGAGGCCTACAGTGACCACTGGGACCATGGTGGAATTTTCCCTGAGCAGAATAGGGAGCTGTGTGCATCTACAAGAAAGGCAGGCTAGTAGGGGTCTATGCACCAGCCTGGCCTACACCAGGTGCACACATGTGTGAATAAGACTGCCATCTGATACCCTATAAGGCAGGTCAGCTACATACTTGCACAGGGTGGTCAGTGCCTGTGAGCCCATGTGGACCTACACCCCATGCACCTCCCAGCAGCAGCCAGACAGGCTGGGCTTCACAGAGAAGTTGGTCATACTTCCCCGGGTCTGTGGGCCAGAAGTCCTGACTTTGAATCAGTTTCCAAAGTTTGGATCCCGATCAGTTTCCAAAGCGCTCTCGCACACACGTATGGCTCCTTATCTTCATAGCTTTCCATGGAGGGAGCTACCCCAAGGTTCCTAACTTAGCTTCCTGCTTCCCCTTGAGAAGAGTGGGCACAGGGTGGTGGGATTTTACCTCCTACTCCAGCCTTGGGCTTGGGAAGATGTACAGTTTGGTTCAGTTTCACAAATATGAGACATTCACTATGTGTAAATTCTTTCCCATATCATGAATACTTCTGTCCTTGAGACATAGATCAGTCCTCTGAGTCTAGCAGGGCAGGCTGCTGTAGAGATATGCCTAGCTCCTGCTGTAGATCATTGAGGGGAAGCCACAGGTTTCTCTTCCCTTCCTTTCCTACAAGAAGCATGGGCTTTACTTGATTCCCTCTTCATAGTTGCTGCTATGGCTGTAACCTGGTCTTAGGTCACAGATCCCTGAATTCTTGTTTCAAGGCATGGAAGAGAGGCTCAGAAAGGCCTGGATGTGACAGCACCAGGTTCTGCCAACACTACCACCTGGCCTGCATCATCTTCCTCTGGCCTCCTGCTGTCCTGCAGGAGGTCTGCCACTTGAAGTGGCTAGTGAGACCAGTGCCTCAGCCTGGGCACTAGTACACCTCTGGGGCGCTGGCCTGAACAAGTGCTATTTCACTGAGTCCCTATGGTTGGCCAATCAATCAGCCACTCAATTTGGGCCCAAGCAGAAGCCAGCAGGGTGGGTGGATGAGAGACTGAATAGGGCTAGACTTGTGATCCATGCAGGATCTCGCTCTAGAGAAGTCTGCCTGCTCTAATCTTCTAGCAGCAGCCCCAGGCAGCCCCTGAGGTCCCTAGTTGATGAGGATAACTCCACTCTGTGCGCCAATGCAGGGTGATGTGGCATTCTGGGCTGCAGCCCCAGGTCAGACTCAGGCGAGGACAGGAGGCTGCCTCCTGCGGGCACTGCTGGATGCATCTCTAGGAGGAAACAGGATCCGTAAAGGGAATCCTCAAGGAGGGTGATTGGCTGGCATAGCTTCTGCAGGGTATTTATAGCTGGGGCTACACAATTGGTTTCCCTCTAGTTGCAGGGCATCAGACCCCGTGCTGCTAGGCAGACTTCGGCCAGGACCAAGGAAAGCAGCCAATCACCACAGGGGAAGTCCGTTGCTGGGCAAGCTGGGTTGAGTGGGGGTGGGAGGGGACCTCAGCCCAAACACCTGCTGCTTCCAAAAGTTTGAAGCATTCCAGTCTCCTCCCCCACCAACACCCAAGCCCAGGGAGTTTACAGGGCAGCAACAGGGGAAAATGTGCCCCTGTGGACCAACGCCATGTTCAGCCACATTTGCGCACTCACTCTCCCAGCACATGCCATCAGCTGCTTCCTTCTGAGATGAAAGCCATCCAGTTGCTAGGGCTGGGCAGCCTGCTGGTTATAGGCACTAGGTGTCTTGGAACATGCAAGGCAAGTATGAGAAAGGGTCAGCTTTCACCTGAGCTTTAGCACCAAGAAAATTCTAATTTCTGCATTCATATAAACATACCACTAAAGAAATTAAATTTTATTTTAAACTACATACATTGGTGGAATAGCAGAATCATCTCAGAATTCAAGACCACTGTAGAGCCTCTCCCCAGCCCTGCATCAACTCCAAACTCTCAGTCTTTGGGGTGGTTTAGCAAGAACTTCCTTAATCAACCTCTTCATAGACTGACATATCATACTAAGATGCACTTTATGTCTTTTATGAGTCTTGCACTAAACTTGTAAAGTTATTGTATCACTCAGTTTTTTTTGAAAGATATTTCCCACTAACCTTCCCTCTTCCAAAAACCAGGAACCTAGAAGACAGAAACAATAGGACAGATGCAAAACATTTCAATACTTCCCAGAGAGCCCTCAGATGAATGCCAGATGGCTCAGGCAGGGTAGGAGAGAGCTACACAGAACAAGGAGACAGTGCCTCTTTGTGCCCACTAGTGGTTTGCTTTGCCCACTCACTTACCCACACACTGGTCTAGCTTGGCTGCCACTTGTGGCTATTTCTGTGGCTGACTGGTTTCTGAAAGTCTGGTTCTTATAATTCGCACTAAACCACAGCAGCTATGGTAGCTATGGTGTCTGTTTCACTCAAGGTAAAGTTGACACGTCTACCAAATGACAATCCCAGTAGCAAGAGCCAGCGAACCACTGCACCCTTTAGCCAGGACAGAAAGGTATGGTCTCCTGGCTGTGGAGAGGGGACTTGTGTTGAAGTTGACTCCTCTTCATGATCAGGACAAAGGACACAGGAGAGCTCTTCTCTGTCAGGAGTTCGAAACACTACTTATGGGAGTGTTGTTATAATTATGCCCATTTTAATGTGGTGCCAGAACAGGGCTTCTTGTTCCCGTTTTCATCTCCAACATTTAAAATTGTGCCTGGTACAAAGAAGGTACAAAAGGTGTTTGTGGAAGGAATGAATGAATGACTTTCCTTTTGGAACCTCATCCTTCCTTTTGTGACTGTTGAAGGGATGGCAGAGCATCGTCACTTGGTCTTATTCAAGTGCAGTCTTACTTCCCCTTTGGTGAAGGTCCTCGAGGGTGGTGCCTTCAGCCTGGCATTGCTAACCCAGCTGTTGGATTCCAGGGCTCACCTGGCTGGAGTCTGGTGGGGCTTCCAAATGGGGCTGTGGGAGGGGAGTTCTGATTCTTACTGGAATCCTCATGTGCCCATCATGTGCAGTGCCAAGGGAGGCCGGCCTAACTGATCTCTGAAGGGCACAGAGTAAGGCCTGCTGTAGTCAGCAACAGCCTCCAGAACAGTAGGGGTAGGGTCCCTGGTGCCAGGGAAAATTTCTAGGGTCATAGTAGCTCTGGAAAGGTCTGGGAAGAGGGAGGGGATGGCTGGCTGAATCCAAGCGGCCTCCTTTTGCTAGGTGGTTAAATGTTTAAGGGCTGGTCTTTAAATGAATGCAACCCAGATGATCTTCCAATTCTCTCTCTCTCTCTCTCTCTCTCTCTCTCTCTCTCTCTCTCTCTCTCTCCAAAAGACAGTTTATTTTGGGACAAAAGATGGGAAAGAAAGAGGATAGAAAGCTACCATGAGGTGGTAGAGGGCTTCACAGCTGAAAGCCCCCAGGTATTTTTCAATATATTGAATTCCAAAGTTTGAAAAGAAAATGGGAAAAGAAAAGAGAATTTACCATGAAGGTCATTTCCTTCCAATTTCTGCCACTTCCGGATCCCATTTCCAACGCCCGGGAGTCCTGTGAAACACAAGGATGCTTAGGGTGAGGCTTTCTGTGGTGTGAGACCCAGGGCAAGTGACCTATGCATCAGCTTCAGACTCTGAGCTAAAGTGGGGCTGGTGGAACCGGCTCTCTTGGGTCCCAAGGGCAGCTGCCCTTGAATTGGGATGCTTTCTGGGTCAAGAATGCAGCTCCCAAAAGTTAAAACATTAAAAAAATGTTAAAGCAGTAGTTTTCAGGGGTGATGAGGTTGATCGTCAGAATTATCTTGGGAGAAGTTTTGTAATATTGATGTCCACTTTCTACTCCCACATCATTATCAGATAAATACAAAAGGGTTATTTTAGAAGCTATTCCATATCCATCTTCCTGCTCATTTCTAGATGTGTTGCATTGCCTCCCAACCCCAACCTCTCCTTCCTCCACAGAGCCTTGATGTGGAGTGAGAAGGGTGGGTGAAGCCTGCATATCCTGATGGCAGTGGAAAGTGGAAGTTGCTTGCTCTCCTGGCCTCCCTTGCAGCTAGAACATGTACATAGGCTGCTTGGGCCTGGCCAAGCAGATGCACTTGTACCAAGTCTGATGATGTGGCAGGAGGGAAAGGGAGTTCTCGGCAGCAGCTAGAAGCAGTAACTACAACACCGAGCTCCTGAATGAACTGACCTATGTTCTGGCAGCGGGAGCCACTGTAATAGAAGTGAGTCTCTGTGTGGAAAGTGTGGTGGCCTGTGAGGTGGCTGTGGTGGCCTGCGAGGTGGCCTGGTCTTTCCACTTGAAATGCTGGCTGATAGACTCATGTGGTAGAATGCATGAGTTTCTTACATTTTTGGGATAGAACGTAGTAATTTGGTGCAGGCAGCTATTGGCTTCCTCCTATACTGCTGAAGGAAGACAGGACGTCTCCTCTCCAAAGAACGTGTTTTGGAGAAATGTTGCTCTAAGGAAATATCTGGGAAAGGGCTAGAACAACAGAGGGAAGGAAAGATAGCCTTGCAGGCCAAATCCCTGGTGACCAGCCTGGCTGCCCTCTTCTTGCCTTCTTGTCCTTTTAGTCTTCCTAATCCTTTCTGCCACAAGACCACAGTGTCTGCTTCATGAGAAGAACTGAACTCTGCACTATTCTGTGCAGAGCCAAGAAGAGCTGCTTCCTACTGGGGGAACTGGCTCATAGAAAAGATAGCAAGGAACAGGCAGGGATTGGCTTGGGATTTTGTACATCCATGGAAGGCCTTCAAACAAGCTAGTCTGGTTCAGTGTTCTCTCTCCCAAGGTTGTGTCCTGAGGAGTGGGCCTTCAAGCTGGCTTAGCCTGGGGTCTCAGAATATCCCTGCTCAGCAGACATCAGACACCATGCACGTTTCTTCTTCTCCACTCCGAGGCAGAACTGTCTGACTGTGAATAGGTGACACATGCCTGAGAAACCTCCAGTAGGGAAATTTTTGTAGAAACATAATAGCTCCTATTAGGTAGAAGTGGGTGCTTTCTCCTCTGAGTCATGGTGGAGACTGGAGTTGCAGGGGTGAGTGGTGCCCTCAGGAGGAAGCTGACTCAAGGTCCTTCTTTGTGTTCTTTGCTCTCTTTGATGTCAGAGTTCTTAGGGCAGATGTGCTCAGAGGGGACTCAGAGCTGACCTTGAACTTGGTTTCATGCAGCACACACTGGGGGAAGCCTTCTGGATTGGGTGTGGGTAGTAGAAATAGTTTAATTTCTATCAAGAAATTGATGACCTCTGTTGATTTCCTGCATACAACTACCCTGAGGAACCAAAGAACCAACTAACCTAAGCAACTGCCAACCCCCAAATACCCCCCAAGATTGGCACACCTGTCAACATTCTCAGTTCTCCAGGCTATTTCCTTCCCCTGACAGCCTTCCCAAGAGCTCCCCAAAAGCTGTGGGGCAGCCTCAGCTTGCGTGTGGGAGTTGGGGAGAGCCACCCACGGAAGCTGGCTTTGTGGATGTTCCATGTGCACAGGGGGCCTGGGGACACAAAAAGCTAGGGACAGAATGGCGGGAGGAGAGGTGGGGAGCAGAAGACGCGGCATGGCGTGCCCTCACTCCAGTCACAGAGACAGCTCATCAGAGATCCAGGGCCCCTAGGTGCCCAGACTTCTCTACCTTCATTATTGGCCGTCTATAATTTATTGAGAGCAGAGGCCTGGGTGTCACCTTCCACTATCACTCTATAACCAGTCTCTATTTTACCAGTTTTACTTCTCAGGACGTCTGGGGGACAACTAAGCTGGACGGCTAAGCTCAGGAGTGGTGTGCAGATTTCGAACTCCATCCCACCCCAGCCTGTGTTTCCTTTTATCCCTTTCATGCCTTTCGTCTGCAGGAGGCTGGAGGAGAGGCTCAAGAAAAGGGAAACTTGAGTGTTTTAGTTATGCAAGGCCACCAAGGGTCTGACTGCGCACAGGTTGCCCCTGAGCACACCTGAGTCGAAGGGTGTTGTGTGGGAAAGCAAGCCGCGGATGCACAGGGGTCAGCCTGGGGCTCTAAAGCCTTTCTCCGGGGCATTTTCCAGCCCTGGTCTGCACCCTTCAGGAAGAGGCTGGGAGAAAACAGGGCACCCGGAGGAAGAGGACGGAAGCACCTTCAGGCCTGCAGGAAGAGTCAATCTGGGACAATCCCGAGTCTACGCGTTGCCGCGAGACGCTGTTGCCAAGCGCTGAGGCACAGGCAGCGGTAGGGGAGAGGGCTGGGTTCGCTGATCTCGTTCAGGGCGCACACGAGGCGCCCCCCGGCGTGCGGGCCCTGGGGTAAGGAGGTCGGGGTGCTCCGGGGTCCCGGGACCGACCCAACGCGAGTTACCTCCTCCGCGCTGCAGACGCGCGTCGGGCTCCGCCTGGGGGTCCGAGTGCGTGCCCTGCGCGGCGCGCCGCTTCTCCGAGTGCACGATCAACAGCATGTCGATGGCCACAGCGTTGCTCTCCTTCTTCAGCTCCATGACGCCGCCCTCCCTCCCGGCCCGGTCGCCGCGGCTGCTCGTGAGGCTGCCTGCGCTGCAAATGGCCCCGCGCGCGCCGCTGCCCGGCCTGGCGCGGGAGAGGGCGAGGGCGCGGGAGAGGGCGCTCCCCCGCCGCCCGAGCGCTGGGCGCCGCGTTTCGCTGACTCTGCCAAACACGCCATTAAGGCCCGCCCGGGAGGGCGCTATCCTAATGGAGCGGCTCTAAGTCACCTTTGAAAGGAAATCCCCTGCTGGAGCCCTGACCTGCGCCAAGGCCGTCCCAGCCCTCTCTCCCTGCGCCCGTAGCCCACGCGCCTGAAGCGCAGGTCCTGGGTTCTGGAGCGCGTCTTACTCTAGCTGGGTGCTGCCTCATCCCCATCTTCTGGGATGGGTCGTCCCTCATCTCCTGGAGCAGACTTCCAGAACAGAAGCACTGGATAGAAACCGCGCACAGCGCTGTCAACGTTGGGCTTTTGAAGTTCAGGACAAGAAAGACAGCAAGGGGCTCCATACTGAATCGCAGGTGTACAGACAGTGGCTAAGCTTTGGCCTCAGCTGCACTCACTCCTTGGGTGGGTTTTGGAGGAGACAGCTAGGTGATGTATTGGGGGCAGGACCTACCCCTAGTTATGACTCTTCCAGAACTTGGATCATGCCCACTGGGCCTAGAGCTATCAATTCTCTTGAAATTTCTATTTCTTCTAGAAGCTGGGTTCCTCCCAAACAGCAAGGGAGGAGGGGGAGAGGAGGGGCAGGCTGGGAGGTGCTTGCTGCTGTCTGGGAGCTGGACCTGAGCACCCTCTATTTTTAGCAGGGCCAGGCCTACCCAGCCAACAGTAGCAGGGCATTTGGCTGTAGGTCTAAGGCGTGTTTACATGGGCATATGCCCGCTAGCCTTTGGCAGTATGGACCCACCAGGTGGACGATGTTACCTAATTTGAATTTCCACCATTAATGAATGCCACCCACATGGAACCCTTCCCCACCTTGGGCTGTTGACATCCCTGAGAAGTCTCGAATTGTCCTTGGAATAGCTTGTATTGCACAGGCTATTCCTGTGTTCCCCTGCCAGTCCCACTGTTTGCTGGCCATGTGACCAGGGACCAGCCATTTCCCCTTCATTTTCTTATTCATATCTTTGGGATAATAAAAATTCTCACAGGACTGTTGGGAGAGTGACATGCATGGACAGTGCCTGGCACATGGTAAGGGGCCTCCAATTGTTAACTGGCATTATTTCCTTTCAAGAGTGAGGAAAGGGACAGGTGGAGAGAAGTCAGTGATGGAGGTGCGAGCAGGGCACACAGCCACACCTCAGGCTCTGCAGGTCTTACTGCAGCATCTGTGGTTCAGTTGGGTTCATGTAAAGGGTGCCGCTCATTGTGCCACCACTGCCTTCTTAACCTCTGAGGCATCTGTCATTGGCTTCTGACAGTGTGGCCTTGGAGTCCCTAAGGAGCTGAGGCTATGGATGGACAGGTGGACATAGGAGACTTCTGAGGCAGATTTTCTCTTGCTAAAGTGAGTTCTGTTTACAAATGTGTGGGCACATGTACACACACACACAAACACACATGGCTGGAAACTGAGGAACTAAGAACATGGATTGCACAAACCTCTTGAGGTCTTAGATTACTGAGGTAAACCTCCAGGGTTCTCCTCAACAACTTGGGGCAAGGTCACCTGACTCCTTCAGGGTACAGGTTATTGAGACATGGAAACTAGCAGCAACTCTTGCTTGGTGCCCTTGTTGCTGATGGGGCTAAGTGGAGAGGGTGTAGAGATGAAAGCCTTCTTACCTTATGGATAACTCTCCTGTCCTTGCACTGTCACTGTCATGCTGGAAAGTGTCACTTGTAGGAGCTCACTGTGATGTCCCCTCCTAGAGCTGTCTCTGGAAAGGATGCTGACCTGGGGTGTGCTGGCCAGAGGTCCAGGAAGACAGCGTGAGGGAGGGAGAGCTCTTGCTTCTCTGCTCTGTCTGAAACCTAAGCCTTTGCAGCAGGGCTTAATTCTTGTCTTCAGCACTGCTGGCATGTTGGGACAGATAATTCCTTACAGGAGGCTGTCCTGTCCTGTGTACTGTAGGATATTTAGTAGCATTGTGAGATCTATTTACTGGTAAGTGCCCGTGGTACTTACTTCCTAATCATGACAACCACAAGCACTGCCAGATCCTTTTTTTTCTTCTGTATTTTAGGGAAGAGTCTACAGGGTGTTCAGGGTCTCGCTACTAGATCGGACTCGTAGTGATTCTCTTGTTTATAGCCTCCCAAGAGCTGGGGCTACAGGTGCGTGCCACCAAGCCCAGTTTCAATTGCTATCTCAGCATGTCCTGGGGGCAGGACCAGCATGGCAGGCCTGGGGATTGAACTCTCAGCCCCTGCGCCTGCTTGCAGGCGCTTTAATCCGCTGAGCTACTTGGCTGGCCCATCAGATCCTGACAAATGTCTCCAAAATCACACTGGGAACACAGCTTTGGCAGAGCCTGGGGTGTGTGTGTGTGTGTGTGATTCTGAAACAGGGATCAGTTTGGGTACTCCAGGAGATGCTACTTCTGATCAATCCAGATACTTCAGTGCCCCTGGACCCACTTCCCAGGTGCTGCATCTTATGACTGTTGGTGCAATAAGACTTTGAAGGACTGCTGGGTCCTGCAAAGCAGAAATATGAGATGCTCAGCTTCTGTCCCACTCGATTCTCTCCCTGGCCTCAGTTGACCCAGCTGCATCCCCTTCCCATGTCCTATTCTTGGATGGAGAGGGAGCTAAGGGGAATGGGGAAGGTGAGGTCATTGAGGGCCTTTAGTTGTACCAGGAAAGGGGAGCAGGAGAGAAGATTGGGGCTCCGGAGACAGCATTCAGACAGAGGTTCTGTCCCATCGGCCCAGATCCTGCTTCCAGCTGCTCCTCCAGGACAAAGCAAAGACCTCCAGACTGCAGTCTGCGCTCTGGCCCCGCCTTCTCTGTAGTCCCATCGCTTCTTCTTTTCTTGCCACTCAAAATATACTGCTGAAAAAGCTGTCTCTTCGTTCATGGCCCACACACCTGGACCTTCTGCATCTAAGTTTTTCCTCAACATATTAGCTTGTCCATCTTGCCCCAACTGGGTAACACGGGCTTCAAGGATCTCTGCACTCTGAACTAATTAATCTTTGGTTTTATCTTAGAAGATGACAAACCAGGGGCTACCTCTATTCTTAGGCAAATATTATAATTATTTAATCACAGTAAATTGGGCTGGGACATTAAAGCAGAGACACTAAATCTCCTGGAAGAGAAAGTAGGTGGAACTCTTGAAGACATAGGGGTAGGCAAAGAGTTCATGGACAGAAA